CTCTCGGACAGCAAGCACGACCTGACTGAACGTGCCCTGTCCCAGTTGACGAATCATTCGATACCTTCGGGGCTGCTGCGTTCTGACTGACTTGACGTTGTACACCTGAGCCGAGGAGAGACTGGGCCCGAGTGAACCCGGGGCCATCCCGTTTTCGCTACTCTCTTCACCACGACGTGTGCTGGGTGGACTTGGAGGGTGCGCATGGGGAATCGTTAAGCCACGTTGAACGGCTAGGTACTCTTCACGGTGAAGCTTGTTTTGCACAGCCCGTCGAGGAGAAGGTGAAACACAGCTAACGCCATTTGAGCTATTCGAAGGAGACTTTAGAACTGCTGGAACGTGCAGAGCAGGCGGGACATACTCGCTAAGACTCCGGTTGCGCGCATGGCCGTTTTGCGGTACTCTTATATGGACTTCCTTTTCGGCAGGTGTTTGGTCCTGACCACCCGGAGCGGTATCATAACCTCGACGTTGGCCAGATGAAGATCTCGGTGGTCTGGTCGGATCTAGCGATTTCAGACTGAAGGTGGAGCCCCGATATGATGCTGTTGACGGAGATCTTGGGAGCGACTGATAACTACCGCATCTCCAAGGCGAGTTGCCTTGGATAGGTGATGGCAGCGGGGTGATATCTGTCAGAGCGGCGAGCTGCGGCGATGAGAAGATGGAACCTGGAGAGAGAGATCCTGTACTGGAGTGTGGAGCAGCCAGAGCAGCGCGCAAGCTCGACGTTCTGTGGGGCAAGCTGGTGGACGATAGACTGGCTCGAAGAGGGGCATCGAGGTCCGGTTGGCTGCCCGGAGCCATGATTCTTGTGTCTCCAAAGTCCGTGCGGACGCTGAGGGCAGGAGGCCTTTGCAGAGGTGTGGAAGGTTCGTTTGGCAGAAGGTTGGTCAAGAGCCTTGAGTCATCGTGGGGGGCGACGTTGAAGTTCGGTGTTGTCGGAGCTTGGCCAACAAGCCTGTTCGGAGGGCATCCTGGCTGGGGCTGGTCAGAAAGAGAGGCTGAGGCGGTGGATGGATGTTTGGTCGAAATGGTCGTGGACGTCGTCGTCAGCGAAATTCGAGGTGATGCATCAAGCCCAAGTGTCGTAGCGCCGGCGTTGACTGGATGAGGCTCCGTCCGAGAAGGGTTGCGTTCTACCATCGAGAATGTGGCCGTTGCAGAGAGGCCGCGTCGGGGTGGTCACCGAAGACGCAACGGAGACGGCGTTGGAGGCCTGAAGGGCCAAAGTTGGTCTGAAGGTTGTTCCCGTCTCAAAGATCTAATAATAGCTGCTTGTGCATGAAGCGAAAAGGTGGGGGGATCCTTGAGTCGAGGATGATGTAACAGCGAAGCGGTTGGCGTTGAACGGGTGTCCTTTTCGGCTCCAGATAGGAGGACACTCCGTAAAGGGATGGCAGAATGACTTGGGACGAAAGCTGTGCACTCTTCCTGCGTCCCATCGTTTCCTTTTATCCGCTCGCTCCGGTGGACGGGCTGCGCACGAAGCGAGGCGAGGAGCGTGATGGCGTTCGTTCGTCGCTGGCCTGGTGCTGCTTTACGGACTCGATAGGTGCGTGACTAACAAATTAGGCTTTAAGGTTATTCCGCTGCCGCTCAACATTCGGCCAATCACACTTGAGAATCGAAGCATCCACCGGCTTTGGAAACCAGGACAAACGAAGCAAAACACCAACATTCTCGCTCATCCGCCTCGCATAGTGAAGACTTTGTTACATCACTACTAGTGAATAACTCCGCAACCCATACATACACGCATCATCTCCCCGTCCAGCTACCGTCATCCATCGCCTGTCTGTCACAGCTCATCGTCCCTGCTGGGCAGCGTTCCGTCTGGGTTCTTAATTCTCCCATTTTCCAGTCGACTCCAGTCAAAATCTGGAGGGAACGGTGTGCACCCTTCCACCTCTTCCCAGGCCTCCGTCGCAAACTCAAACGTCGCCGCGAGATCTAAATCCATATCCTTCGGCTTGAGCAGCCTGAAATCCTCCGGGAATATGGCTAAGCTTTGCTCCTGTTTTTGTCTTATATTTTCCAGTGTTGATTCCTGCATCAATAGTTAAGTTAGCCTATTTGCCGGTCGCGTGGCACAGGGTTCCCTATGCTAGCATACATGGCATATTGCTGCTATCTTTGTTTCATCCTGTTGCAATTCTCCCATCATTTTCACAAAGACGCTGTCGTCAGAGATCGTGTCCCATCCGTCTGTGTTTTGTGCTACCCAAGTGCTTTCGTTGTCCTTAGGGATTAGCTTGTACGCCAGCATTTTTCGCCTGGTCCCATCATTCGTATCATCGGACAGGCTACTATAATTGTTCACTCCCCTGTTTTCATCTGTTGTCCATCCGATCTGTCTAGCAGGGTAGTATCGGATCAGCCTATGGCGCTGTATTGCGTCCACCAGATCCGTTAGGCCGCAGGCATGTTCCAGGTACAAGTCAGACGGTAACCATTCACGACCAGGAAGATCAGAAATGACGCGAAACTGTACTCTTTCCGGCATCGGAAACGGACGGCGGGCTTCCTCAAGCCTTGCCAACTTCCCATACGCGTCGGATGCAGCTCCCGTAGTAAGCTCATTCACTTCCTGCTGTGAGACTCCTTCCCTTAGCAACCTACGATCAATCTCATCGATTGCTGCGGGAAGAAGTTGTCTGTGTCTTCTGATCATTCTTTTAACATATTCCCTGAAAGCCGTTTCTTTTGCCACCTCTCCCAGCGCCGCGTTGAAATCGAAGTCCCGCATGTCGAATTGGTCCGAGCCATCTTCATAGTCAAAGCCAGGGAGCCCTGGCGCTGGCTGAGGGTTGTTGAATAACTCATCTATGGGCCAATAATTCACCCATCCCACGACACCACGATAGAAGCCATCGTACCAAAGCCAGTGGATCATATCATCGACCATTGCGGGTCGGGGTTGTGCTGCTTCCATGGGCAAGCTATTGTTGCGCGTGTTTATGTGGTCCATCTTATCCTATAACAATGATAATTGGAGGCCTGCGAAGAACTAGGCTGTTGACAGAGGCCCAGTTTCTTGCATTAAAGAAGCAAAGTGCGAGGAATCAAGAGGAAAATATGGAGCTTTCCTCGCGCAAACACAGACAACGATTGATTGCTCAAGCTGTTGCCTGGCAAGAGCACCAAGCAGGAAGCAGCGAGCTAATGAGGTGCTCATGGAGAAGTTTCACCAGCAGAAAAGCTCTCCATCTAAATGCCAACTAGTTGAGTAGTCTGCGGTACTCACCTCAGATTTTCCATCCCTCGTGCCTAGCCTAGCACAACGGTGAGTGTATGTTGTTGATGCTGTTGGTCCCGGTTGTGCGTGGAGGCTTTCTACATGCTTTAAGGACTATTGGTTGATAAATCCAACATAGCATAATGAGGTCTCTATATTAATGGCTTAGGATCATGCAAAAGTGTTGGTTTTCATTTAACTTACACATACATAGCACATTCCATTAAATGAATAAAATGCTGAGAAAGTCAAACTCCTCCAGCTAGCAGCAGGCAAAGCCAGCAGGGCAAAAAGAAAAGCTAAACAAACCAAAACCTCTATATGTACAAACAATACAGGAAATCAGTTCCCATGACGTACTGACAAAACCCACTGTCCATATACGAAGAATGCGAGGACAATGCTAACTCGAATACCTCTCAGATGTGCGCCAGAGTGGAAGATGCGTTCTTTTTTTTAATCAACCAGCGAAAAAAAAGGGTAAATAATACACGGGGAGGATAATGGCGGTGGCTCGGGTCCGAGATGAATTACATAGGCTCAGTATCGGATCGCCAGCGCAGGCACTCCAAAGGTGAAGGCCGTTTGCGACTGTCATATTGTCGCAACCTGCATCCTGGCGCGGCGGAAGTAGCGGCGAATAGGTCCGGGGAGGGAACCGGTTATCTCTATGAAAAGAACACGCGTCGGGCAACCTAAAAGCGTAGATGTCAGAACAAGCAATGTCGAATCTGATGAAGGATATGGGCGGCCCTACGGTCCAGGCGGCCGCCACACTGGCGACAATTCCTCCGGATATCATCATAGGCCTTAAGCCTCTAGTGCTCTTGAAAAGCATCCCACTCAGTGCGCCAGCGACAATGCTATTCGCCGCATCATGCTTGCCACGGGCATATCCCAACGTCGAGTTGATTCCATTGTATGTCATAGCAAGCACGCCGGCAGAGTTGCCCAAGAAAGGGCCACGTCTTGTCACGGAGTTGAGCACGGCGTTCAGCCGCAGCTTGGGAGGCGCACTGGGAGGTGCTTTCCTCAATCCCTCTGTAAGACCCCAAAGACCTCCAATGGACAGAGCTGTGAGATACGTCGTTCCGGTGCCATAACTCAGGTCATCGGACCACCCCCGGGAAGGAAGTGCAGATTGAGAACCAGGGAGTTCATTCAATGTGGAGTCCTCGAGAGTGAGATAGTCTAGTGTTTCGCGATTAAGTCCCGCGAGAGGGTGTAACTCTGAAGGATCAGGAATGGCTGTGCTAGAGAGGAAAGAGGTGACATCGTGAGCGGAAGAAGGGTCGAAGGCAGCCGGAGCCGGGGAAGTAGAAGATTTCCGGCCGGAGAGGGTGTCCCAGATCGACATGATGAGAGTATGGAGGTATTACAAGAAATAACCAATTAAAGAGAAAAAAGGAGACTATTAAATATGTGCGCCTGTTGCGCTTGTTGGATTGACTGCTAAAATGGGCTGTCAAAGGGCGGGTGAATGCTTGAATCAGAACCTCCACCGAGCTGGAGTTTGAATCCTGAGAAGCAAAAAAAGTTGAATCGACGCTGAGTTTGCTCTGTTTGCCCAGATTACTGCGTCTTGATTGGCTGCTGGCCAAGGGAAAACTTCACGTATGGAACTAAACTTAAATGGGAATAGCCGCGGATCGGAACCTCACTCTTCAAGCAAAGCGAATTTTTTGACGGGCGGCGGGACGAAGTAGCGATTGGCGTTTGCTCCATTTCTTTTCATCTTTTCTTTTTGCTACCCTACACAATGGGGCCTACGGGGACAGAGGGATCTCACGACCCCGCCAGGGAGTTTTGTCTGGAGTCATATTTTCTTGATAGAGAGGTTTTCGTCGTTCCTGAACAGGTCCTAAAGGACATCACCAAAGGCCCGCTGCGCTCTTTTATATTGCAATCTCGGGATATTCAGTAAGCGCCTTCATAGCAATGGAGTAACTAAGTTATATATTATACATCTGTAGATATTAATATTCCTTCCAGGCAATTATTGCAAGTCTGGAAATGTCTTCTTCATACATTTGCAGCTGCCAACCTGCCCGGGTCGCATAATACAGCCATTTGCAATGCTGTCAGCGCATATCTAGAGTCGGCCTTGAAATCTGACTATGAGGAGCTCCGCCACTTTGTGCTGTCCAAAGAAACCTGGATACCTGTCTTCGAGGACTTCTTGGACCGCTATCAGAATGGCCGACCCAAGCCCATGAAACAGGTCCTTGGCACCCTGATCATGATCCTTTCAAAGTACATGGACGCTGCTACCTCTAGACTGGTGTGTGAGCACATAGCCAGGATTACCGTACCGACTATTATTCTGTTTGAGCCTCGCTCAAGGTTAAAGGCGTCTCTCGTTTCACTGGAGTCCCTCATCCGAAAAGAGGCCGTCAACGTGGTGGACTGGCTTCATTCGGCGGAAGAGTGGCTATGGGCCAACCATTCAAGCTGGATCCCGCTCCTGGGCGAATATTGTACGGACCTCAAAGTACCTTTAACCCGTCTTGCGGATGAGGAAACCAGGCGGGATATTTCGCCAGGGAGTTTACATCTATATGCCGCCCGCATATTATGCCTAGTGCTTCTACTAAATACTCATAACCGGGATATTTCGCTCCCTGCAGGAATGCTATTTTCCCAGTTGTGCTGCCGACTTAAATCCGTGGCGGCCGCCTATGAGTTTCGGTATTACGCAAATGACGACCCCTTTTGGGTCGCACCGTTAAAATATGTGTCTTTAATGAATCTGGACTGTTTAGATCCCATAGCTAACCATGTTCTTTTCCCTCTTTTCAAAACGGAGCCAAAGGACTTCCTGTCCTTCGTAAGCACTCTACCCCTTGATACCATTCGTTCAAAAACACGCTCTAAAGCTTCGAATGAAGAATATACTCTTCTCTTCGCCATTCTTGAGCGTGGAAAGGAGCTAGGGCTGGTTCATGACAAAGAGGGTGAGTCATAGCTTCAACCGAACGGGACGGCGAATGCTAATGAGCTCTAGATCTCGAAAAACTTAGTCCGGCCGTTGCCAAATCGTCAATTTTGTTGGATTCGAGAGACTACAAGCATTTCTTGGTCCACGCAGATGAGAATATAAGGATCCCTGCCTTATCATTGCTCACAACAGATCCAGCCACTGCAAAGCCATTTTCCCCATTCACATTCCAGATCCTCACAGACACCCTCCCGTACATACACGCAGAAACGGACTCCAACACCCGGAGTCAGCTTCTTAGTATTTTAAGGAGGCTAACTATTAGACTTCGAGGCAGCTCCACCACGATTCAAGCACCCTCTGACGGCAATCCTGAATTGGAAAATGCTCAACTAAATCAAAAGGTTATTACCACACCGAATGCAAAAACATTTTTATATTGGTATATCGACTTCCTTGAAAATGAGCTTCGCCCCACTGCCTCATATCAAAGACATATTCTAGCTCTCAAAGTTTTCTTGTTGTTGTTGCAGTCCGGAGTCGACAGCCGAATTGACCGGGCGCATTTCTCTAAACTAGGCCAGGAACAACAAACTTGGCGCTTCACCATAGAAGTATTCAGACCCGGCCTATTCAGGGCTATTGCAGACTTGCTGCTTGATCCATATGACGATGTTCGAGAGGCATCGATGATGCTTCTTCGCTTATTCCCTGGCGGCCTCCTCCAAACACGTTCGGAAGCTACTGGCCCAAGCCCCTACTCACAGTTAGTGGCCGCTGTCTCAAGAGCTGAAGATATGGCGGGTCATACTAGTAGAGCCGATCACTCTGACACTGTTGGCCGGCTGCACCGTCTTCTATTTGATTTTGCTGGAGTTATTGATATCGACTCAAGTCCGAATAGGACCCCGTATGGTATTGTTGATAACTTGCTTTTGAATTTAGAGCAAAACATTTCTTGTTCGGTGGAATCATTCCATGCTACACTTCACAATACCCCGCTTCAAGGACATGTCTCCGCCTTAAGGTTGGTTCAGCCATAAAATTTCCCATGCCGGTCAACTGACGTCTGAGTATAGGTATATTGTCGGAACACCCAATTTTCACGCTATCGTGTCTTCTTCTCAGGACTCGGTCTCGGCTTGGTCATCTTTCCTCAAACGGATACTTTCAATTTGCTCCAGAATTTGGTTTGGTGTTCAAGACGTACTCTGTGTTGATTCACCGGAGCGAGAGCATGAGAATCCGGATGAAGACCTAGCGGGCCCCAAAGATATTCTCTCATTCTCATGGCGGGCGTTGCGTGAATCAAGGTACGACCCCCAAATTTGAAGTTCGGTTGGTCAAAAATTCGCTAATAATCCAGTCTATTACTTAACGCTATTTTGATAAATACGACGTTTGCTCCCAGCGGTTCCCAAAACGGAAACGGAATTGGATACGAGACACTTTCAAAAATAGGTAAACTGAGTTTCGAGCAACTAGCGGAATTGAGACACAGGGGTGCTTTTTCTACCGTCTCTCAGACTTTCGCCTCCTGCTGTTTACGCTGCTTCCAGTCTGATGACGCTGCAACAAGGGCGTTACCGGCTGCATGGTATAAAGTAAGATATGCCGCTTCACCTTTCACAAAACGAGACTAATTGATCAGGATACCGTTGGAATTATCTACGATCAAGCGTCCAGGCTCACCCGAAGATCTGCTGGTCTTCCAGCTATAGTCACCGGAATAGCCACATCTCAGCCAGGGGGGAACCTATTCCGACAAATCATGGAGGAGCTCCAAAATATCTCTCGGACAAGCCCCATGGAGACAACTGATAAGCCCGATTTGGAATTACCCCAAGTCCATGCATTGAACTGCCTGAAAGATATCTTTACAAATACCAACCTCGCCCAAAGTACGGAGCCATATGTTATGCCATCCTTAAATATCTCAGCCAATTGTCTTGGGTCAAATATGTAAGTATGCCCTTATAGGTATGTCTATGTCGCATTTAATTACTAACCTAACTTAGTTGGGCAATTCGTAATTGCGGCTTGATGCTGTTTCGCTCGTTAATAAATCGGATGAGCCGCCCAACCCCAGAATCTCGTCGTGGGATATTTATAATGCCTGGTTCGGATTCTAACCACAGCGTTCCATTTGAGAAGTATCACGGATTAGTGCCACTATTGTCCGGCCTTTTAGATACTCCTGTGTCTAATGAGAAGGATCACGAATCCGAAGCATCTAGGGGCTGGGATCTCTCCATACTCACTGAGCGGGTCTTCCCTGCGCTTGAGCTGATCGGAAATAAGGCACCTGCTCGTCCTTCTAGTGATGATGATATCTTAAAAAGGTTAGCCCTATCCCAATTCTCAAATCCCGTTTGGGGAATAAGAGATCATGCGGCGAGGACGTACGTCACTTTGGTGAAAAGGGCAGACCTGCTGCAAACCGCCCAAGAGCTTTCTAGCCCCGAACTACGAACTCAACTACCAAATCAAGTACATGGGTTACTCTTGTGCATAAAATATTTGCTTCAGAAGCTATGGGAGTCTCCTGCTGGTTATTGGTGTGGTATGTTTGGCCCTATGTTCTCGTCGAGAATGCAAATTAACGCGTCTAGGTAACATCAACGATATAATGGGCATAATTGAGAATGTCTTCAGGAGCTTCTATGATTCTAAGCTAGCGCCCTATATAAAAGCCTGTCTTTTTGAAATGTTAGCGAATATTTTGGAGGCGAGCATTGGATGTGGACAGGAAGGTGATTGCCCGACATTCTTCATTCTCAAACTTCAAGAGCTAATACATGCTAGACAACGTACTGCCTTGTTGCGATTATATCCTCAAAGGTTATCTAACCGAGCAGCTCCTCGGTAAGGCTTTGGAATCCAGTTCAGGATCTTCGATTTCCCGATCATCATCACTCTTAGTGCGGTTCCTTTCCTTCGATCTTGTCTTTTTGAAAGTATTGAAGGACTCCCCGGAGGAGGTGGCGCAATTCCTGGAAGCTATCTCAGTCGCAGATATAGACGGTGCTCACTGGGTACTGGATCGACTTCATCGGTGCTTCCGTTATTGTGCAGCCCTTCAATTAAATTTGATTAAGCTATATAAATGTGCAATTGAGATAACTCAGTCGTCACTACTAAAAACCGCGGCGATGTCTTGCCTTGCAGAATCGTTAGAGAGATTTTACGAACGGAAAACACAACTCCCCCCCGAACTCCAGTTTCTCAAGCGCTGGGCGAAATCTGTGGACTTCTTTACGGAACAGAGCGGCGCTCCACTCTGGGACCGCGCCAGGTTCAATGCTTCGATCCATCTGGCAGGATGTCTATTTCCCCTCCGAGTTGATTCAACCGCAGCGTTGGGATCTTCTACTAAGTTGAGGTCTGATTTACGGAAGATGGCTCAGACATTGTCGTCCGCCTTGGCGGAGGAAACAGTAAGATTTTCTCTCCTCTTGCCAATAATACTGCTGTCTAACATTGACGTAGGAATTCTCAACGAGATATTCTGCAATTTGTGCTATGAAGTGCCTTATCCTCGGACTTGAAAGAATGGATGCCTACAGCCCCTATTCAGCTTCTTTCATTGAGATTTACTTTCTTTTATATGATATGTTAAACGACGATGACGAAGAACTACGGGATGCTTCCGCTCATATCGCATCAAACTTTTTCTCCGATTTGCTTCCAACTCCGGAATTGCCTCTCACAACAAACGTGACGCTTGCAAGGTTCGTCACCCAGTTTTTCCCTATATCTCACAAAGTCTTCGAAGGTGCTCTCTTCCGTTTTATGGGAAATAGAGGCGATAAAGTCTCATTCACCCCCATTCGAGATCAGCTTAATGAACTTCAAAAGGAGAGTACAGTTTTGTTCCTTGAAGAGAAGCAAAACCTTTATATTGACGAAGTTCGAGAGATTGAAATATGGTCCAGTGTCCTTGCTCAACTAGACCATAGCGGTCCCCCAACAGATCTGGGCCTGAAGTTTGTCTCCTGGGTGTTTGAAGGTTTATCAGAACTACGTGAGGAGCTGCGTAAAAAGCAAGCTAGGGGTATATTGGGATGGATGTCAGGCCCAGATGCCTTAGCCATGAGTATGCGTCTCATCCATGGTGCAAAGGTTCTACTTGCTACGAATGCGTTTGGTTGCCCTGCGTACAAGACTTCTACAATCCATGATACACTTCAGGATATGTTGGAGATTGGTGAAAGCGCTGGAATATATGAGCCTTGGATTGCAGCAGTCGAGAATGCTCTTAATCAAAAAAGCACAAGTTATGGCAGCAGTTTACAAGCCAGCTTCAATGCTGTTAAGACAAGTCTAGTAATACGTTAAAGGATTCTGCAGCTGGGTGTTTCCAGTGTTGCTATTTGTGACTTCCTCAGCTTACTTGCAGTATTCGCGTCCACCATAGCAACAAGCATAAAAGGGTTATAACTTCTTGCACACATTTCTACTTATCTCTCTGTACGTCAACATCAAACTTCTTCATGAGCGTATGTTCCAGACCTCTTTATTGTTTCACTCATGCATAATAACATGTTATCAAGACAGGCACTGATCTTTGAGATAATTGTTGTCTTTCTAGTTAATAATAACGTGTGCCTCTGATTCTGGCAGAAAATATCTCATCTTCCCAGACTACCAGAATCCCTTAGGTTTGTCACTCGAGAGCATATACCTTCTGTTTATATCTAATCATCTTGCAAGTTGGCAGAAATAATGAACCCAAATTATACCATCTTGGTAGTTCTCTTGACTATCCCCATCCTCGCCTTTATGGCCTGGAGAGGAGGGTTCCATATTGTCCGTGTCGTGGCCCATGGTGTCCAAATGCGAAAGCACGAGCAGGAGATTAGGAGATTGGAGGCAGCACGAGTTGAACGTGAAGTACAACTAGCTGCACAAGTGAGAGACTTGACTACTCAAATTGCCAAACACCGTGCCGACCAAGAGGGTCAACAAACAACAGAAGGGACCAGCAACAAATAAGGGACCCAGCTTGGCTTTTTGACGACTACAGAAGGATCTGACTGAAACAGATTTGTCATGTCAATGATGTTGGATGATTTGTTTATATGACCTGCAGTTTGAATTCTATCTCGAGCCTATTTCTCAGGACCTGGTGTTGGAAATTTCCCTGATCACCTCACGATTAGTGTTCCAGGGACAAATCAACACTCAGATCTCAATATATTCTTCATCCTTTTATCTTTTCTAGCTTTTACGCCCAAACACATGTGTTGGATCCTAAGAGGCAAACTTCTGCTTCAGTTAAGATAGGTAATCTCTCCATCAATGTCGCCTTAAGACCACATGAACGAGCATTGAAGCCAGCCCACACCTATCCCAGTCTTGAACAATGCGCTATAATCAGTGAATTTTGGCAGGGATTTATTGCCAATATCCATTACAAACAAAGCACAAGCAGATTTCCCCTTTAACCCTCATCTCAGATTCCTCCTCTTTACCATCTAGGGCGGCACTTTTCAAACCAGGCGCGCTCAACAACAAACTGGGACTCCTGGTCCACTGAACAACAAGGAGGTGTTCTAGCAGCCTCACCTCACTACTTGTTTTTATGTTCCTTGTTGCGATTGCCTTGTGGATATTCCGCTGCTGGCAGGAGGGAAAGCAGCAAAACTGTTCGCCTCGACGCAAGAGCCATGATCAAAGACAGTCACGGCGGGGTCACCGAAATTCTAAGTCGAATAATGAATCTAAATCGAAAAGTTATCTGGGCTGGAGTAAGGCGGGAATTACATCTGCGCCAAGAGATAACGGAACAAGAGGAAGGGAGTGCAAGTCGAAACGGCGCCATCGTCGCCATGGAATTGAAAAGAAGAGGGAGCCGAGGAAGAAAGGGGCAACGCAGTCTTCTACACGTCGGTCAATATCTAGGTCACAAAATGTATCAACAAGCAAATCAATTCAATCAGAACGCAAACTGCGGAAGAATAACCCAACACCTCAAGATGTAGGCAAAAGGCCGCCAACAAAACCACTTAATGAGAACACAGCTGCTTCTGTCGGTAGCGACCAGGGTCAAGCAAATCATGCGAAACTGAGTGGAAATACAGGTGATGAAGAATCATCATCATCCCGCGAGCTCATTCTGTTGCAGAACCAGAGATATAAGGCGATGCGGAATCAACAGTCACTTAGTCTAGATTGAATCAATTGAGTTAATACTAATACTCATACTATGAATATCCATCCACGCAGCACCCAAGTATGGACGGGCGCCAGATGAAACATTGGACAATGACATGGTATGTGGAAGGCTGCATGATTCCTCCAGCCGTCATATTTGTAGCCATAAGGCCGGTTTACTTGCTCTCCTTGGCTTATTGAAATAGATTCAACAAATGAAAGTGCAGTGATAATGATTCGGATATCATACTGCTCAGAGGCGAATGTAATGGCAAATCGACCAGCACACACCCGGAGGGCTTCACTGTCCAGGACACAGAAAGAAGTAGGAAACCGGGCGGCCCAGCAATAGAAATGGCTAGCAAACCGGAAAACACCTGACCCGGGTCAAGGATAATAAATTTAGAATAAGAGGCCATATCCGCAGAAACGATATCCTCTGGAGAGGTGGCAGTGGAATTCGCAGCTAACGGTAGATAGGATGCCAGCAGTTTTATCGGAGGATGGGATGCGCATCCTACGAGATCTGGAAAGATACTCGCTGGCGACGCTCTCTCTCTCGTTGGTATCCTGCGTCTTTGTTATTGCAGGAACATTTACAGTGATTGGAATAGCCGGAATAAATGCCTGTGCGGAATTGAGGCGCTGGTTTTTGACTCGTCCCCATAGTTCCACCCACCAAAAGGTATGGAATGATACCAGCGCGTCTTCCCTAGCGTCAAGCGAAGATAGCAACCAGTCGTCAACACACATAGTGACATCAACAATATCGAAACGTCACCGCAATCGGTACAGCAACAGTGTGCAAGAGACGCAAATGCAGGAACGGCTTCCAACGCAACAAGTGTAATCATGCCGACGCCGTTACAACCACAAAAGCCAATGCAAACTACAGCGTCAGCATCAAAGACCAATTCGGAAAGATTTCAAGAGAAAGGTGATGGTGAATTAAATTAATTTCTCAGAACTTTCATTGAAGAGCAACCATGCGTTCGAAATTTCCCAGCACGGCGGCTAGGTCATTGGTAGCCACGGTGGCGAAGAACGGCTGAAGCCCTTGAAACTGGAAGAAGGCATGGCAAGGACGCTCATCGAAAAATTCCCAGTGCCTTTCAACGAAGCTCCCGGTGAAAGGTGAGGTTTTCAATGGGCGAAGGTCATCCATGGCATGCTAACCCTGTGACGGAGTAGTCAATCCTCAAGGCAACCCGCGGAATTCACCTACGAAGGAATGCATAATAATTTTCAAAGAGCTAGGGAAGCCATGACGGGAATATATCCCGGGCCGTCGGGTAATCATAAGCGTCTATCGATATGCCGGATGACGAGGAGGCAGACAATCATTCCGCCCAGAAATATCACCCAGGTACGCTAGTTAGAGTGCTCAGAGTCGATGGTCCACTCCCAAGGCTCCAACAATGATATTCCATTGTATCCCAAAGCTTCTGATTCTGTAGAACTGCCCGTTTTCCACGGAACGCCGAATAATGACTAAGTTGCGAGTGGTCAAGGCAAGTATGATGGAAACCCTGTCCGGTCTGGAGACACAGGGGATCTAACACCGAGTTCGTCGCGAATATCCGGGAGGCTCTTTTCCCAAGAGTGTCGATACCATCACGATAATGCAGTATCATACAGCAGAGGTGTCCCCATTACTGATACGATCGGTGATGGGAGTATGTTCGCATCGATTGATCCCGTAACATCTTCACCTAGGAAGGGCTGGTTGCGTCGATCATCATGGGGCAAGGTATTGAGAGTATCCCAAATTTTTCTAGCTAGATAGTAATTAGCCAGTATCCATATCTAAATTGTTTCTGAGTTGTGCAGCTGCCATATTGTTGAATCTCCAAGGTGAAGAACAGAGTTTACGTTGGAAAAGTGATGATGAGACAGTGGAAACAGCCCCCGCCGGTTACCTCCATCCACTCTCACCACCAACTTACTCCTCCAGCTTACTCCTTGCAAAACCACATGGTTTAGACAGATTTTTCAGGCTGTCAACTCCTAATTCCCCATTCCATTCACAATTCGCAAAATATAATCGTTGTCTTGACCAATCCATGAGGCCGGCCCCCCTGCCTAAGTTTGCGATTGATGGCTGAGCGCCTTCAATGATCTCATCACTCACAGCCCACTGATGCCGAGTCGACCCAACAATAGCCATCCTCAATCCTCAAGACTTCAAGCATACAGTGTCCACTGATCCCATCTGATAGCACAATGTGGAATGATGAAGATAATAATCCATATGGCGCATTTGATCGCCATACAGAGCCGGTGAATGTTCCATTCCATGCGCCAGAGATGTCTCCCAGTGAGTTTGCCCGTGCCTAGCTGTTCTGAATCCAAGCTTACATTAGGGTTAATATTATTTGTAGCATACAATGAGCCTGCTTCCCCGCAATCCCCTGCCCATGTTCCAGAGTATACAGTTAGACCACATACACCAAGCGACGACGATGAAGAGCACGAACAGGCAACCCCAGAGAGCTACGCGGGGCACCCAACATCACCAAGCTACTTGCGCAAAACAGGAGTCTATGAGAGTAGAATACAGCAAATTCTCTACGAGAACCCCGAGCTTCCCATTCTAATCACGCATGCGGGCAAAAACCATGAAGGTGGCGGTGGCTTCATTGTGTATACGATACGGACGGGAGTGTGTTTCGAAGACCCTAGGTTCCCCCGGGCCGCGATTCTAACACCTTGGTTATTCTCTAGGATCTTGAAGTCAGACGGCGATATTCCGAATTTAGCTCACTCCGGGCGACCCTCGTAAACCTCCATCCTACGCTCATCGTTCCGCCGATTCCGGAGAAGCATAGTATGGCCGATTACGCCGCGAAACCGACTAAGGCGAAAGAAGATGCATCAATCATTGAATTACGAAAGCGTATGCTAGCCGTGTTCCTAAACCGTTGCAGAAGGATGAAAGAGATCCGAGAAGATGGCGTCTGGTGGCGCTTCTTGGACCCGAATGCAAGCTGGGTGAGTTATATTAGTTGGGCAGATACATTTTGCATTGTTAACCATGAGGATAGAGCGAAGTTCTTCATTCTCACCCAGCTTCCTCAGTTCCCAAGAATAACCTGAAAGCACCTCCACTCGACCCGGCGAATCCGAAACCCGCGCATAATTGGCTCCCTGTGCCATCTTCGTCGGCCAAGCTGAAGGCCGTCGGCGCTGGCTCAACATCCGAAACTAACGTACCCGGGACCGTCCCGGGGTTCCTCAATCGTTTCCCTCCTTCATCCCGGAATCTTAGCGAGCATGAATTAGATCCATACTTCATGAATTTCGAGGCATCAACGAGAGAACTAGAACTATTACTTCAGGGAAATATAGAAAAGGTCAACCGACGGACGTTAAGCCACTTATCATCACTTGCTACAGATTTGATGGAATTAGGCGCACGATTCAACGGGTTCTCTCTCTCAGAGCCATCCCAGACCGTGGCTGCAGCTATTGAACGCGTTGGGCAAGCAGCAGACAATTCATACATCGAGACAGAGGAGCTCTCTAACGCACTAAATGCGACGTTTGCAGAACCGATGCGAGAAAGCGCGCAGTTCGCCGGAGTTGTTCGCAGCGTCCTTAGGTATCGTGTGCTGAAGAGAATACAAGAAGAGATGACAAGGGACGAACTGAGCAAGAAAAAGGCACTTCTCGATTCTCTCGAGCGGAGTGAGTTAGAAGCCAAAAGAATCGAACAATACCTAAATAAAACAACTCCACAAGCGACCAAGCCAAAACGATCGCTGTCGGATTCATCTGCCGTGGGCAATGTTGAGCAAGGCGCTGAGGGTGGGAGACCAAGCATGGAAGATACGGCATCCATTGATTCTGACTTCCCAACCACGCACGGCGAGAGTCCACGTCCCTCCGCGTCACAAGGCCTTCCACATCGCGCAGCCGATCAATTGCCTCCCACTCCAAGCCATAAACACTCGATGAGTGGGTCCTTCATGGCTAATAAGATCTTCGGACGTATCAGTCATGCTGTGCATGGGTTTGTCGACGTTGATCCGGAGCGAACGCGACGAGACCAAATTGGAAAAACAAAGGAGAGTCTAATTCAGGTAAGTTGATGATTACAGCAGCTCCTCATCTGGTGATACATGGCTGATTTATTCTGTGAACGAACAGCTGGAGAAAGCGCTTGAAGTATCAGAGCAGGATGTTAAAGATGCAAGTGCTGGAGTGTTAGAGGATCTAAAGCGATTCCAGAAGGAGAAAGAAGATGATTTAAAACGGTACATGGTCAGTATACCCTCTGCGTTTAAATTGCACTGAAGCTGACAGGACACGCATAGGTGGCCTACGCCCGATGTCACCTTGATTGGGCCCGCAAGAACCTGGAAACATGGACAGAGGCCAAAGATGAAGTTGATAAGATCATTGTTCGTTGAGAGGACTCGCGTCCTGTGGCATTGGCTAGTTATTGTTATGGAGTGTTGGCGCCTGGGTGTGATTCACAGTTATCTGAATGGAATTCATTGCTTGCGTACTCCGTACTTTTTGATGCAAAGCTGTTTAGCCGAAATTTGTAACCAATAATAAATATGGAATACTCCGTACAAATGAAACTGTTCTAGGTCTTCTGGGGCTAGCAATCAAGGTTCTGGCTAAGGTTATCTCCATGCAGGGTTCAGTTTGAACATCTAGTTACTATTTGCCAGCCCTATCTGCTTTTTGAAGAAGAAAGGGCATCAAGTGCTGTCAGACCCAGCATGGATGACAGCGTCGATGCTCATGATATGCAAGAACTGCTGGCTACCAAGATCAGGCGGAGATGAATAGTTAGACGCTGGTCACACTTGTTCGAGGCTGACCACCAAACTTCCGCAGACGGGGCGAAAAAGATTTCGATTGTATGAACTTACGCCCAGACAACCAAAACCTTCTTTTTCCCACCACTCCAGGAAGCTTCTGACCTGTCATTTTTGCTCTAGTCTTTACTGCAGTACGTGAATATTTACTCCGTAGATGGTGACAGTTACCTCACCATTCCATCTGTCCCTTTGTTTCAACGGCATCCTGCCCCGGTCTTTGTCTCTCACAAAAGCCCTGTGTGGCGATGGCGAAACTATACCGCTGAGCTACCTTTGTTGTCTATATGCTGGGGCTGAACGGTGTCATATGGATTCCTTGGGTAAGCCGGGATAAATTACAGCTCGATCCCGCCATTTGGTCGAGGGCGCCTAACAGCCATTAGTACTATTGGTCAACGAGAACATTTGCAAGTGGCAGCAGCAACAGTGTTTCAACTGGGGCCGGAGGAGAGGAGCAATGCCCTGAACAGCTGTTTTCCCCACGATGATAGAAACCGAGTATGCTCTTTCACAAGGCACATACCAGCTTCCTCAGAAGGATAGACTCTCTCCCCAACCTCGAGGGCGATTTCGTTGTCGCAATTTAGGACCTTGACACTGCCTTGATAGCTCAAGTTGCGCGAAACATGCGTTCGGATCCCCACTCGTCATCCAGTGCAGTCATTTGGTCAGCCTGACTACCACACCGGGATGTGGAGAAACTCGGTATCAAGGCTATCAAAGCTACGCCCAGCAGTAATGGGTGTAGGAAGATTATCGGAGTTGGTTCTCATGTTGGAGGATCCATCATTGATCAAGAACGCGTACCTAAAACGGCCATACCGAGAATACCATCAAGTTACCAGAAAACTCCTCTCTGTTTGTAGATCTTACCAACACCAAACCACCAAATTACCAAGATGGTGTAAATATTACATAATATCCCCGTATTCTTTGTCTTTTTGCTGTGGTGGGAAAAAAATGCGTTTTTTCTACCTCCAAACTACTCCGTGCTCTGTAGTTGAATGCGATTGCTTCCAAGTGAGTGCAAATCACGCCCTTCAGCCAACCAAAGCGCACACACATCATCAAAATGCAGCACCGGTCGCTAAACCAACAATGCGATATTCACATTTTTGAAATAGAAGGCTAACTGTTGGCTCCTGTGAAGTCCTGCCGCGCTGATTAGCCGCCCCTAACATCCACCTACATCGCCTCATCCTTGTTCCAGAGCTGCCCACTCTGTGTGGTCAGCTCACATTCACAACGTCTTCTTCAAAGAGGCGTAAGGTTGCTGCAGAGCTGCGTAAAGCTGGAGGCCGCACGGGTTTTCACTTTCTTCCCTCTGCATCTTCAAGAAAGTCCTCCCACCCTCTGAAACGCCGCGGCCATCACTCTTTGCCTGCTTCGTTGCAACCTACTCCTTCAGCCACCAATACCTCCTCCTCTTCCTCCGTTTCGTCAGCATCTTCGGAATCCCCCCCTGCTTCAAAAGCCTACTCCCTTGAAACTTCCAACGGTACACTCCCTCTCAGCAACGCCGGATCCTCTCCCTCCATCTCCGCCCCTTCCAAGCATAAAAAGCGGTCAAAGATGTCCTCAACGGGCGGTGCGAACGGGAAGTCCACCAGCTGCGATCAGCCGATGCAAGACGCTCAAAACGGCCATCCTGACTACCGATCTTCTTCTCCTACATTAAAGCGCCCGGCTGCAGAGATGGGTGGGGACGAACAGAAGGAGAACGGGGATTCTATGGATACAGATCCTCCGAGCAGCAAGAGCATTATCGAAATCCAGGTAGACAACTCACACCTGAAAAAGAAGAATGATCGGCCAGACAGGCACGCCCGGGCAGCTTCCGTTGATATGATCGGTCGGGATAACGATACAGGCCCCAAAACCTCATCTGAAGAGGCTACCAGCTCCGGATCGGATAGCGTCTATCCAACCCCATCCAGCATGTCGACCTACACCCACTCAACCTACGAGGAGAGATCCCAGGCGATCTCAAGCCATTCCAACCACTCTTCGCACGCTGTTCCTTCCCTTGACGAACAGGTTGCAACCGTCATGCAAATGGTGATGCAGCCTCCACAAGAAAAACAGCGAGGATATGTGGTCTCTGGGACTTGGTTAAATAGGGTTCTCGCGAGGAGTAGCAAAGGTCCGATGCGGGACAAATCTGACAAAACTGCTGCAGAGGGTGAGATAGGACCAGTCGACAACTCCGATCTTGTTCTGGTCACCGATCCTAGCACGCTATTCAAGGATGAAGCCGGAGAGCCGTTCGTTCCGCTTCGCCCCGGTTTACAAATGGGAGAGGACTTCGAGATCTTCCCTCAAGAAGCATGGGATCTGATTATAAGCTGGTACGGCTTGTCAAAGAATTCCCCAGCGATTGTTCGATACGCACATAACACAAATACCCCCGGAAATACTGAGAACATCCAATACGAGCTGAATCCGCCTGTATTTACAATCCTAAAGTTGCCGAGTCCGACAAACCCTGCTGTGCAACTTTCGACAGATAAAAGTCGGACTCCTGTTAAGACGCTTGCCAGCAGCCACACTCCATTCCAGCAATGGCTAAGAAATGCTAAGAAACTTGCTTCTATCCAGCCCACAACTAAGGTTCGCGTATGGAGGATCCTTGAGGGTTTGGGGACCTCTGGTACCGTTACGCCAGCCGCTTCCCGAAGTGCTTCGCCAGCTCCGGGCTCCACCCTAATTGCCAACGCTGGGGACAGCTTAGTTCTCGACACTAACAAGTTTGTCGCCTTGAGTGAAGGCTCGCAGAGGGAACTTGTTGAACTCAAAGACCAGACTTCGAACGAAAAATATAACGGAAGTGTTACATTGCACCTTGCTGGCCTTAGTGGTGACAATGTTATTGTTCTTGAAGAGCAAATCGGTGGCGCTGGTGGTGGCGAATGGGCATCAGATGCCGCAAAGTATGGGTCAAGCCGACTCGCTGCTCTGACCACCACCACAACCACTACAAAGGTAGCACCCCAGAGCAAGTTCAAATCACCCGCCGTTCCTACTAGTGGACGTGCGTCACCCGTACCATCCGTCGTTACGCGAGGGCGAAAGCGCAAAGATGGCAAAACTCGTGGTGTTACCGGTCTGAGCAATCTCGGAAATACATGCTACATGAATTCGGCTCTGCAATGCGTCCGGAGTGTCGAGGAGCTCACCCAGTATTTCCTGGCAAACGAGTATAAAAAGGACCTCAACCCGAGTAACCCGCTGTCCCACAATGGCGATGTAGCCAGGACCTATGCCAACCTTCTCCATCAAATGTTCGATGAAAACGCACCTGATTCCATTTCTCCCCGTAGTTTTAAACTGACAATCGGACGATATGGACCTGCATTTTCCGGTTACGGCCAGCAAGACTCTCAAGAGTTTCTACTTTTCCTCCTTGATGGTCTGCAGGAAGATCTCAATAGGATTCACAAGAAACCATATATCGAGAAACCGGATTCCACGGACGATATGGTCCATGACAAGGCTGCATTGCAGGAATTTGCCGATCGGAACTGGGAAATATACAAAGCGCGAAACGATTCAGTGATTACTGATCTATTTGCCGGCATGTACAAATCCACAGTCGTTTGTCCCGCTTGTGATAAAGTGAGCATCATCTTCGATCCGTTCAGCAACCTGACCCTCCAATTACCCATCGAAAATGTATGGAGTAAATACGTATATTTCTTCCCGGCTCATGGTGAGCCGCTTTTGATTGATGTGGAGATCGATAAAAATGCTAGCATCAAGGCGTTGAAGGAGTATGTGGCGAAAAAGGTCAACAGCGACCCGCGGCGTTTGGTCATGGCGGAAATCTATACCCAAAAAATTTACAAATTGTTTTCGAATACTTCGGCTATCAGCGACTGTTCAATCGGGCAATCGGATAACATTGCCATGTACGAATTAGAAACTATACCGACAAGTTACGATCCAGACAAGGCAAAGAGGCAAAGCTATAGCATGCTTTACACGGGTTTACGCGGTGACGATGCGGACATTGTCTCCTTTGACTCTGAACAGGCGGATCGTATCCTTGTTCCTATTTTTAACCGTGTTGTAAAAACCTCTGTCACGAAATATGCCCGTCAGCGGCCGCTCTTTGGCGTGCCTAGGTTTGCGGTTATCACCCGCGAGGAGGCAATGGATTACGATGCAATACTGCGGAAAGTCTTAGCTCAAGTTAATACTTTAACGACGCGGGATATCCTGACCGAGGATGAAGATGATACAACTATGCGCTCCACCTCTGCAGAAGATTCCGATGCCGTGGTCACGAACGACGATGACGCGAGCTCCAATGACTCGAAGATTAAAATGGGCTCTGTGGAAGGTGAAGACGGATTGGTTGATGTCTCCATGCGTGATGCTACCGACCCTTCTTCGCAGGGAGGTAGTACGAACCCTTCGAACGCACCCGTCGCCAGAGTTCTTCAGCCTAGAAGCTTCATTCCTCCCTCGCTTCGAAACCTATTCGACGTCAAGTTCGTGAAGACCCAGGATCCTGCGGGGATAGCATATTCTTCTATAGACGATTCCAAGGAATTTCTCTCTATGATAGATAGGGTGCGACCGAGAAAGGCGGCTAAACGTGGAGGTCAGCGAATGAAAACTGTTCCGCCTCACCGTTCAAACAACAGCCCTGTCAGCAGCGAAGACGAACTTTCTAGACCGCCTATTTCCGTTCAAGTTCCGCGTAATAAGCTTACTGAAAGGTTGTCGAACTACTCGAGCTCTGAGGAGACAAAGGAGGACAGCGGGTCAGACACTGATTCAGATCCATATCCTACCGCCCGCTCAATACGGAAAGAGAAGGGCCATAATCAAAAAGGAGTGGGTTCAAAGCGCGGCCCTCCATCCAATCTCCCTTATATCCGTCCTGGCGAGGCTATTGTGCTCGACTGGACCGAATCTGCTCATGACGCCCTTTTCGGAGGAGATCCCCGAGATAAGGAATCGCTGCGTGGCATACCGACATGGGAGAATCCCCAAAGGCTCCCAGATCCCGAACTAGCAAGGAAACGTCAACTACGTCAGAGTAAGAAGCGCATGGGCATCTCGTTAGCCGAATGCCTAGACGAATTTGGCAGAGAAGAGATTCTCTCCGAAAATGACGCTTGGTACTGTCCTCGATGCAAAGAGCATCGCCGTGCCAGCAAGAAATTCGAGCTTTGGACGGTGCCAGACATTTTGGTTATGCATCTTAAACGATTCAGTGCCAACCGGGGATTCAGAGATAAATTAGACGTGCTAGTCGATTTCCCCCTTGAACTAGATATGTCCGGAAGAGCCCAAGCGCCGAATGACGGCAAGAGCATGATGTACGACTTGATTGCCGTCGATAACCACTATGGTACCCTGGGTGGTGGCCATTACACGGCTTACGCCAAGAGCTTTGCTGATGGTAATTGGTATGAATATAATGGTAAGGCCGTTCCACTTTCATTTCAGCCACACTGTTAGGGTTGCTGACAGTTTTAATTTTCAGATTCCCATACGTCGAGAAAGTCAGATCCCAGCGTTGTTGTGACAAAGGCAGCGTACCTGTTATTCTACCGTCGGCGCTCGGATCACCCTTTAGGCGGGTCGTATCTGGCGCAGGTAATAGAGGCAGCAGGTCAAAAAAACGCAGCAGACTCTGATTCTCCCGAAGACTCTGACGGGAATTCGGGGGAAGGCAAGCGCCTCGACGGCTCCTCCCGCAATGGGTCGTCGAGCGCCTTAGCCGGAGTCGCAGCAGCTCACCAAGCGGGAGATGGTGGTTTGCAGGGCGGAGTCCTCAACAGGAATGATGAAGACGATACGCTGCCTGGGTACCTAGATTCCATTCAAGCTGGAGAAAGTTCTTTGAGACGTGGAGATGACTTGGAAGGCATGGAGATTGATGGGTATGAACGCGAATACGGCCCGGGGCCGTTGTCCTATCTAAGAGATCAAGGTTGGTCATTCGATCGTATTCACGCAGGCTCGTACTATGGTAATAATGATGATTTGGATGATAATTCGAGCATGAAAGCCGTCGGAGGTGATGATACCGATTCCGAAACACAAATACAGCCGCTGGGCAGCTCGGAAGGGCCGGCTCCGCTGTTCTCCGGCAATGATTATGATAACGAGCATGTGAGCATTCTGGGCATGATGGATGTTGACGAGGACGACGAGATGCCCGTGGTAGAACTTTCAGTTCCAGACGAAGAGTCCAGCAGTTGAGTTGCCAGGTCGTCTTTCGTTTATGATGGTCCCCGCCACTGTTGCCGAATGCACAGTCATACGCCTCTCGACAGAGGCACAGAGCACATGGCTTTTGCATCCTGGGATCCAGCCTTTTCTACCTTTCGCTATGTTGAAGACAAAAAGAGATTATATATTTTTTTCTTCAGGAAATATGCTGGCGTTGGGGATGTATCTTTGTTTATTCTACTTGTCACGGCCCTCTCTCCCAAGTGATGTTGTGTCGCTTTTCTTGGGGCCTTGTTGCTTTTCAATACCTCATTAGCATTACCAAGGAAAACAAGAATAGAGTATCATTCTTTTTTTCATCTGATGCTAATCAACCTCATCTGCTCAATAATTTAACAACCCGAAATGTAGCAAATATGGCGATATCTTTGATACCAAAAGAAACTTGTCTCTTCAGTGCAAGTACTCCTCTGACCAATTCGGCTGCTAATGGTGCTTCAATCAAAAGCGACGGCAATAGGGGAAAAAGGCCGAAAAACAAGAAGCACCACACTCACGGGCTCCTCTGAAACTACCGAGAACCTGCACGCTGGTATGATTACTCCCAACTTAGAACCACTATTAATTGAAGCTGACATGCACATGGTCCCTAAATAAAGAATTAGCCTAGGTTTGCTTCTGAGAACAGACAAAGTCATCTCACCAGTGGTTCTGGGTGATAGAGCCGCGGTCCTCCATCTTTCGCCACTTGTTCCACGGGGCAACCCTATCGCGGGAAGGATTCCAGATGCGCTGTCCCCAGATGACATACTTCAGTTTCAGGGATCGTCTATTCTTCATAACCCATTCGGCAATGGCACGGCCAAAGTCATCCCTGTCTCGTTTCTACAGAGGACTGTCAGCCCTAACTGGAGCCAAGAGTAGGGAACCGGAAAAAGGATGACTTACGCCAGCGCGAGAAGTGCACATCAAATCTACAGCCAAACCACAGCAGTGCTCGCTGTTACTTGGACATCTGCATCTGCGATAACAACCAATTTCCCTGATCTTGCCACGCTGGGCGGCCACGATCTTCTTCGCTCCATTGACAGAAGTCCTCTTGCAAGCGCCGACGGACGGGATCCTTGGCTTAGGGAAAGTTCTTCCGCGGCCGGACAGCTCCTTGGGCAAGCAGCACTTGAAGCTAGCAGGTCCAGGGCATTGACCGGACAAGATATTGCCGGAGCTGCACTTGTCGGTGAAGCGGCAGTTACCACCATCGCCACACTTTGTCTTGGTGCAGCATTTGATGTTTTGTGGAGTGCCAGGACAAGCATTGTTGATGAATTCACCACCACCTTTGTTGCAGTCAGAAACGCTGATGCAAACACCCTCAGCACCGTCTTTGCCAGTGCAAGCACTGTTGATTAGGCTGCGGGTTTCCAAAACTGCGCTGTCGTCAAAGATATCATCATACTCGAGGCTGGTATGATCGTCGAGTTCGCCAGGCTCCTGGGCGATGGCCCCGGCGGCAAGGAAAAGGAAAGAAACAATAGAAGCAAACTTCATTATGGCGGCTGATCGCGAGAGTGGCTCAGCAAAGAGAGGTTGCGCTTGCTGCTTGTCTCATTGACAGGATATAAGCCCACTGCTTGAGGCGACTGGGTCCTTTATATACCCCTATTCCAGCTCGAAAAAAAAAAAGGAGAAAGCTCGAGCAACTTGATATCGCCAAGCTCGTCATCTAAAGCGTTTTCAGGCCAAGGCATTTCTCAGTTCGCCCCAACAGACACCGAAGGCATCTTTATTTAGAACCAATTACTTCTATACGATATATTTCCCGAAACTTGCATAGCTGCGGCATATCAACTGGATCTGGCCCCCTTTGCCCAGAGCGCCGAGGACTGAAGACGGATGTTACTCAGGAGGCAGCAGCAACATGGCTCCCGATGGATGAAGACGCAATTCGTGTTTAGGCGTGAAGAGGGAAATGAGGTTGCACGTTCCAGCGAGCGCGAAAGTGCGCATCCGGTCAGCTGGGTAACCTGGTCAGTTCGTTATTGGTTTACTGTTGGGCATTGACCAAGTTAACGGGACCCTGAGGCGCTCCGCATGGAGATGAAAGTCGATCTCCCAAGTTCGGGGTACGCGATAGTAAACCTCCAGGCTTCTCGTGGTATTCTGGAAACAGTAATTTTCCGCTTTCGTCTCGAATTTGTTCTGCTGAAGGCGTTGGTCATACGTTGAAGTTTGAAGGCCGAAAGTTTTGCAGGGTCCCAAGAACAAGGCTGATCCTTGTCCATCTGCGCGTCGATTCTCGTGCTGCAACGGAGCAGTGTCTGCAGATGTGGTTTTGGCCTGGGCAAACCAATATAAATAGCTCCTTCAAGCCACATTTCTTGACTGCACGACAAACATTCGCTCCTGGCTTCCCGTGGTGAGCTGTCTGGAACACAATCTTGGAATCCTGGCCTTGGAATCTGATTGCTTGGATCATCCCGCAGCGGGACATGAAGGTCACGCAGGCCCAGAGCAATTAATCTTGGGAGAACAGGTGATGAACCATCTCAAGCTTATCCTCTTCAATCACCCACATTATTAACCCCCATTGGACTGCTTTGAGTTTTAACAAAGCAGTTATGGCTGCCTTCCAGTTCACGCAGTGTTTCCCTACCCATTGACAACAACATTCAAGTCCCCCGAAAGCGCCACACTACCCTGCCTTCACGAGTCACAGCTTTTTAACTCGTTGATTGAAGCCAAGGCAAACTTGTTTTCACATGTGAACCTCGAATAAGTGTTCTCTGTGGTTGCATCCTTTAAAACGCCATCCTTTTAAAGCATCTTCGTATACGAGGATAATCCCATTGCAGGTGGAGCAGACATTAGCTTTGCATGAATCTTATTGTATCTCATCCTACATGAAGCCAGCTCTCTACGTGTTCGGATAATCTGAAAGGTCAATCAACGCCATGGAAAGAGGGTATTTTAAAGGAGTGTCTGGATATATTCTATAAAGCTGGATCCGAGAGAAGCCGACTTTACTATCTCAAAAGTATACCAGATTCTCCTCTCGAGCTTTCGAAGCTAACCCGTGGTCATACCCACAATCTGTTAATATTTCTGGGAGGTTCGGTAGGCTTGAAAAGTTTCAAAGCCCTAGCTATTCATCATTGTATCCTGAGTCTTTTTCAGAGATAGAACTGCTCTGTCAACCTTCACAGACAATGTCCACTTGTATATTTCTTTTTTCTTCTTTCTTTTTTTTTTTTTTTTTTTTTTTTTTTGGTCAACCTACGATGCACAATTCTATGTCATCCGTGATTTTTCTACAAAACTATGCATTAAATTTAACATTCCCTTGAGTGTTGGATTTTGCCAATTATCACAATAACTTCCATACCATTGATGTGAAATATCCCGCTTTTATAACAGCATAGCTGTATTAGCTGTATCTAGGATCATTCCTCTTCACATTTTCCATGTACTTGAGAAAACTCCACATGCCATTTATAAATAGAGGCTTCTTGATAGCCTCTGTATCCATGTCTTCATCCATTGTTCAAATCTTACTTGTTAACCCCCTTGGAGATATCTGCTTTAAGGCGTTTCTAGCCGTGCTTTCCTATTATTTGGTATCAACCTGCGCTAAGCTTTGCGGTCACATTGATATCGGTGATTAGCTTGCTTGTTCTGCTTGTTTGGAGCTGGGAGTTAGACATAACCTGCTTAATACAAAGCAACTATGAGCGAGGTGCCTCCCTCATACCAAACATATGCAACATCGCCCATCTACCAACGCACATCAACTCACCCAGCCACCACATCAGACAATGTTACTGATGGAATCATGTTGAAAGAAATCAATCTCAACAGTGGTGCCCCAGAGGCCAGTACCTCAGCGCAGAATATTAGCAATACAAGCAGCTCTTCGACAAGTACTCGCACCCACCCAACTCAGTGCCGTCATGTTGCCGCAATGAAGGCGATAATTGCACAGCAATGCTGCAAATGGATGATAATTTGGATTACGGCAGTTCTGGTACTCATTGCAATTGTGTTGGGAGGCCTGGCAGCTGCAAGATTGATTCCACCGGAAAAGCATCGCTTTAGCATCTGCGAAGCCTGCGGTCATGGCTAGCTATCATTAAGCTCACCTCAGCTTCAGTGCTTTTATGGACTTTGTTTTTCCTTCTTTTTAGCTTTCAAGTCTCTCACAATCAACGGCTCGGCATTGATAACGGCGTTCCAGCTTCCAACGGCTCAGTTGGCACGCTCCTTAAGTTAGTGAAGCACTACTATTGTTATGTGCGTTAGTCAACTATGGAGTAGAATATTTATATATATTTTAGTTCACAAATAAAATACTGAGAAGAACCCACCAATGTGCAAATGGTTTATTGCGGGTCTTGCTTTCCTGATATCAATGAGAGGGCTCACTTCATAGACATAGCATTTGGCTCCTTCAGTAACGCAATAAATATCATTGAAATAAGGATTGTTTTACTAAGTTATTGGATTACAAATTTTGGCAGATAATGGATTGGATGCTAATAGGCTTGCCGTACGCAATCCTCCTATAGCCCAAGGATAGCGCAATTCGCAACGGTCCAACCCTTTATTCTCCATACTCCATACTCCATATTTAACTCAATTTTCAATTGCCATGTCAAGGTTTATCTAATCCTATACTGTAATTACAAAGGAGCTCTTCTGTGTAAACAATGGTCCTATTGTTTGTCTGCGTGCATTCCCAGGCCTCTTTGACCTGTTGACCTATTGAGGAAAGGTGATGCTGAAGGCGCTCAGTCCAACCACATATCAGGGTGAGTGTCACATTCAGTGTGGTTTGAATACAGTGTACTAATTAGTTCCAATCTTCTGCTTTGGTTTTACCACCCAATGGAGCTTTGATGCGACCGAATACTGCAAAGACGCAACGACTTGTTAGCACCCTCAGAGGAAATTCAGCTTGCATTTATTCAGCCCCTGCAGGTTTGTGAGACTGTTCAACCATATGCAACTACCTGGACAAGTTCTGAGGGGAAGTAGGAACTCAAGTTCCAGATGACCTTATTCTTGTCCATGAGTTCAAAGATCATTATTCCCTTCAGGCGAGGAAGGAGATGACAGTAGATGGTGAGCCAGAAGTCTAATATGTCAAAATCTTTTGTCCAAGTACTCACTGTCCTAGACTCGAATACCAAAATCACAGGTATCTTGAGGATGACAGCGCAATGTTTAACCAACGAAGAATGGCTGTGGCAGTACCCAATGTCGACAGAAACCGAGTGAACAGGTTCAGCCCATAGATGCCCAGCAGGTAGATGAGCAGGCGTGCCACGATACCATAGCTGCAGCCTTTCTCGCCTATTCTGAAAGACCTGTAGGAGAAAGATAACAGCAAGAGAGGCTGCTTGTCGAGATTTCTTGAATTATATCCCACCCAGATTTCTCCCCTAATTGTCTACACGATATATCTACAAGTGGGATCAAAAAATTCGACTGGGTGTCCGAACAGGTGACGATGATGCCGACTGTAAATTTGGCAAACTTATACGGTTGAAATACTTTACGATAAGTTTTCGGATATTCACTGTCAAGCCACAGTGGGATTGGGAATGGATTCAAGCTTGTCGAAAAGTGACACCTCGCATCTCACGGTTTTACTGTCCAGGTTGCTCCAATTGCATACAGCATCAATGTTTTCCGCAGACATGCCCACCATGTGTACGTGTATAGCACCGGATATTTCACTTCTGATGACCACACACTCCCATCGGGCCTATGCAATTGGAAACGGTGGAATTGTCTCCTGTATCAGAGTCACCAAAGATTGCCAAAATGTAACATACCGGAACTGACTTTGCATAGTATTCACGCCATTAATTTGTAACTTTGTTAACAAGATACTTGGTCCTGGCCTCTAGAAAGAAGGATTCAGTAAAAGAACATTAACAATATACTAGATTAAAAAAAAAAAAAAAAAAAAAAAAAAAATGCATTGCAGAAATTTTTGCAAGCCTCCCAGATGCAGTGGTATCCAAAATTGATGTATGAGTAGAAAACATCAAATCCCAAAATTAATGATGATATGTCCCCAATTATACAAACCCATAACACCATCATCCCCTGGCACAAACCCCTCGCAGAACAATCAAATATTAATTATGGAAACCTCCGCCACATTTCTATCGGGAAATCTTCCGAACGGTTTGTCTCCTCTGACTTGGCCTTGAGATAAATTTTCGAAAGTGGGACGAAGACCGTAGTTACCGGGGAGTACATTGTAGTCGTTATATCCGGCTCCCCGATTTTGTGGCTTTGCCGCGGCATAAGTGGTGTAGTAATTATCACCACGTAAGAGATCGTTGATGTCGTCTCCGTATCACCGGTCCTGGATGGCGGTAGGGTCTGGGTTACCAAGAGTGTGGACGAAATCGTTTTCGTAATGGAGATCGTGTACATGGGTATAGATGGGGGCATAAATGTAGACGAAGGAATAAATGACGGCGCGGGTGTGGGTGTGGTCGGGGGGGCAGGCGTAGGCGTAGGCGTAGGCGCGGATGTAGATGTGGGCTCCGACGATGAAGCGGGGGTTTCTGCTATAGAGACTATCCCTGACCGAGAGTTGTGTTCAGTTCTAATATCCTTTGTCATGGTAGAAGATGGAGAAGACGAAGTCGTAGATACCAATAGTCCACCGTTGGTTGCAGAACGATTAAAAACACCTGTCGCCATGAGAACGACGATTATTAAGATTATAATCACCATGATGCTCACGACGACGAATACTATTTTGAAAACCCGAAAATCTCGCTGACATTTCTCGCATATACATTCTGAGCTATTGCTGTCGGAGTCGTCATGACTGGCGTTCCGTTTCGCGACTCTTGCCGTGTCTGTTGCAGGTTGCTCGGGCCCTTCAGTTATTTCTGTCTCTCTTCCCTCTCCACTAGGGGAGTCAAATCGTCTCATTAATCCTCCTAAAGAGGTTACCGAGGAGATCCTCTGGGTTGCTCTGCGCATTGCCGGGCCGATCCAGCTGCCAAATTTGTTTGAATCACTTCTGCCGTTTCCGGTAACGATGACGTGCTCGTCGTTGTAGCCTATGGGCCGAGAATATATAGAGGAGGTCGGTCGAGGATCTGGAGCTTCAAAAATGGGGTCTGGAGAAGCGTGTGTCGGCTGTATATTTATCATGTTGTTTCCTGAACAGCAGTTTGAGCCGACAAACTTTGTTGGAGTTTGCTTCATCTCAGTATGTTCAATAATTGACTCCGCGTGGTCAACCCAAAACAGATTCTTGGAAGTCTGAAACAATTTTCGAGCAGGAGCAAGATGTAGGATAAGATAATTTGTTATATGCCACAATCAAGAGATGTGGCCAGAAAGAGGGGTATATTGCTTTCTTAGTTGCAGTGGCAATTCAATAAGTATAAATAACAAATATTCCTGTCTGTTGGTGCCATGAAAAGTACTGAACACGATAAATGCTGTGGCACAGCAATAAAAATGCATGTCACTGTATGCTGTGCATGAAATCTTCCCAAACATTTCACTGTCACTTCACAGTGATCATCATAGAGTTGCACTTTTCTGGCGCTGGGTATTGCATTGTTGACTTAAGCTTTGACTGTGAGCCGCTTGCCGTAGTGCGGAGCAAAGGACAAAGAGGGCTATAGCATTCAATAAAAGACATCTCTGAGTGAATCGCAGATTCCTCATCTGTAACAAAAAGATTTCTCTGCAAGTGTCTGTTATTTTTGAGCAATGCGCTCAAAAGATAAGCAAAATTCTCTAGGATTGTGACAATTGATCAAATCCTCATCAAGGCGATTAAAATAATAAGCAGCGATACCCTGTAAAGGCAGGATAATTATGGGAATCACAAACGCAGTGAGAACATCGAGCCCCGTCAGGACGCCATGGAGGATGGATCCAAAATGTAGTTATATGTAAACATGGCAAGGGCGAAGCAGAGAAGCCATGAGCAGTTTCGAGGAATGGTTTCAACACCAACTCGGAGGACTAAGCTACTTATCTGTTGGAACTTAAGCCGGGAGGGATCCCGCGATCTGGGAAAAGATATCTCTGGGAAAGACGATGTTGAACCTGTTGCTGGCATTCTCGGGGAAAGTTTTCTTTGTTCCACTTGAGTTCGTGAAACAAAAATTTCGCGGTCTGCATCAATATCTTCCATGGAGCCACTGGGCAGGTTGCATGGTTCGTTTCAACAGTAGAGAGGATATAATTGTATACCTTCTGCTGCATCATATTTCTTTTGTAGCACGGTGCAAGGATTTCTTTGTTTGTCAGGACAGCTGAAGAGCAGTGTTATTCATATCAATGATGGCTGTCAGAGAACCTCAATGTCAAGAAAATTCACTTCCGTACTCCGTACAAAATTTAGTTTCCATCCCGGTAGCGACGAGTTCCCTGACTAACTCCACATGTATTAATAGATCAAAGGGCGAGAGGGCGGCTTCGCGTTAGGAGCAATAGAATCCAGCTGCCTACTTCAATAACCAGCTCAGAGCATCCCGTGGGTACTATTTATCCAACAAGCGCGGCTGGATGATCGTTTTCTCTCAAGAGTGGTCGCCGAGCCTTGTGAATACGTCGCGGTAAGCACCAACTATACCAGAAAGCTATAGCTTCAAAGCAGTCAGCTAGATTTCAGATCAGATGAAGAGTGTAATATTTAGAAGCAGCAGGATGCAGCAAGTCAAGAAGCAATGTCCTGCCAGTAAATTCTGGAAGGGTTCATGTCGGCATGCAGTCCTGAGAAGTTGAGCTGAACGTCATTCCCGTGACCAGGTTATTTCAGCGTCATTACAACCATCAACCAACTTGTATAAACAACACGATCATTCTATTTTCAACTGTTTAAACGCAGCACACAGAGTGAGAACCCCATCAACCAGCAGCCATCACCGGACACATCAGATGAGACACTTTTCCACAGGGCTGAATGATCCAATGGGTTCCAGAATTCCGCCCTTGGTTCTGTTCAACATACATCATCAGAAACCCCCTCAGGGGGTGAAAGCCTATTAACCATCCTCTTCTACATTAACTAAATAAACTTGGCGAGAACAACAAGCAAAATGCCGTTCATCTTGTTCTTGAAGCTCACATAAAAGAATAAGAAAGCGCAGCACAAAAATATTCATGCGTTTTCTTGCTTTCAGTGCACACTTGACCTTTTACATACCTAGGAGCTTCCAATAACTATGACCGGACAACACAGCCCAGTATCTCACTCCGACCGCCGCTCAGGCCCAGACACGCTTCAAGAGGCCGAAAAGGATTGCCGGATGCAAACCCATGCTTCTGCATGTCCCCGGCTATTCAATAGCTTGGAATCATCGTGCAGATAGGTTTCATCATATTTGTGCAATCTGCTTTGGCAAGCCATCGTCTGAATTTGCTTCCAAAGACATTAATCTCAAACGTATGTGACCACGTGTTGAAATAGAACCCTTTGAACTTTGGTTGCGATGCTACCTGGTGCACAAAGAGCAGCAAAGGAGACTGTTCACTTTTCTCTCTCCTTTTTCTCTTTTTTTTTTTTTTTTTTTTTTTTTTTTTTGGGGGGATACATCCCACCCATGCTAACTACACGGCTTGGCTTGTACAACATCCTTGGGATGACAGAGCCCACTGGGAGTGTCCTATGATTATTGATCAGAGAGAGTGTTCAAAAGGTCGTGGAAGGCGTGTCTCATAGCCAGGTGGTCAGTGAGACGGCATGGAACTCCGATCCCAATGGACTTGGCGCTGACAGCGGTCCAATACCCGTAGCACCTCAATCACCAATTAGAGAGCTAAGAGGCTGCGTTCATCGGACTATCTGCATGCATAATACCTGTTCCCAACTTTTGTCTATTTCCAACTGAGATACTATACAAGACCAAAACTTACTTGGAGTCCCTACCCCGAACAAGTATCCCATCAAGAGCCAGCGACCTCCTCTGCCAATCCTTTCAACCTCAACCACCCCTCTGAGCCCTCCCAAATCTCCTTCCCCTTGCCCAAGATGCCTCTGACCGCACTTCTTGCCTTGAATCTCCAATCCTTCGCCACCATCTCACCGGTCTCTTCTCCACCATCCTCAGCTTCTTTATCCATCCCACCCAGCGCCGCATATCCTTGCTTAACTAGAGTCTCCGTTGAGCGCACAATGTCCATCCACTTCTTCTCATCGCCCATCTGAAACGCCGCACTCGTACATGACGCTACCATCGCACGCCATGCTTTCTCATGTGCCGCGAGTGCGCGAGACGGTCTTCCGCGCCATTTTTCCAATTTCGCGACCAGGAGCCATAGCTCAGAGGAGTGAGTGATTAAAGGGACCACGGAGTCATCGATGAGAGAGCAAATGAGAGCAGGGAAGGTTCCGGGACGGGGCTTTTTCTTATTCCCCGACGACGACGACGCAATGGCGGAGTCTGGGTCGTCAAAATTATAGTCTGCTGTGAGCGTATTGATAAGGGCTGTGAGGATGGGGACATCAATACACTTTTCGCCAGCTTTAGAGCCACGGAGTTCGATGATTCGTTTCTGTGCGGAAATTACGTCCCGGAAGGGTGTCTGTGGTGGTGGGATTGAAGCACCAACGGTGAGGATATTTTCCCAGATACGGTAGTCAGTGCCTTTAAAGCGAGCAGCGCGATGGAGGGCTGCGAGAGCGTCTCGTTTTGGTTTGTATTCATCTACAATGGACTCCGTTTCTGGCTCTCCCTCCTCATCCGCCGCCTTTGGGGCTGGTTTTGCGGGTTCTGGAGGCGGAATATTCATCAGTGCGGCAGCAAGGTTACTCCATGCCTCAGCATCTGATTCTTCAAGTTGGACCGTCCTTGTGAACGACGCCACCGCATCCCGCCACTTCTCTAATTCAAGTTGAATGCAGCCGAGAGAGAACCATGCCGCGTGGTTCAATCGACTGATCTTCAAGCTGAGCTTGTATGCTTCTTCTGCTTTTTCATATTTTGGTGGTTTCTGGCCAAGGTAATATCGCGCCAACGCCCGTTGGGCACGGGCATATCTCTGCTTTGACACCGCCCATGCCCGTTCGAACATGGTATAGTCTTTATTGACATCACCCAAGATGCAGAATAATCTCGGCGCGTCCACTGGTAATGGAGAGCGTTCCGGCCCTTCAAACCTCTCATCTTCGTCATTCTCGCCACCGGGAGTTGACGGCTCAAAGAGCTGTCTCCTAACAATAAGCTTCGCCTTATCCTCTCTATCGGTGGCTGCATAGCATAGTGCTGCTTCCGCCCACATTTGTAATCGTTCATAGATGTCCAGAGCGGTTCTTAAACCTCCCAGGTTGACCCACCTGGCTGCTAGTTCCGCTTCCAGATCCCATCTCGTCACGAAACTAAGCATCCAGATATACTCTAAGCGTTCACTTGCAGGAGCTGATTCGGAAGCGTCTGGCATTGGAAGGAAGGTATGGGCCTGCTCTTCCTCTGTGGTAATAGAATCACTTGCGGTATCGGCGATGACTTGATCGACGAGAGCTTGTAACTGGAGAACTCCACGTTCCACAGTACGGGATCTATAACCTTCAATCCTGCTTCTAACGAGCAAGGCCTGAGAGTAGACTTGCCAGTTGGAACTTCCACCGTCAAGTACACGAGTAGCGTACGGCAGAGTTTCTTCTCTGGTCAAACCATCTTCTGGGTTGGTATTTGTGATAGCTGAAGCAAGAGCAAGGAGGACGATAGAATCAAGGGGGTCCAATTTCGGTTGTTCAGATGGATCCAGTTCCGCCAGGGACTGCGGTAATGCAGGTTCTTCCTGGACCGTCATAGCTTTCTCCCCAGACTTCTGATCTCCATCATCTCGTTTAAACGAGATGGCTTCTAAAAGGGTATCATCATTCAAATCCAGATTCTTCGGCCCTGAGGGCGCCACACTACTTCCAGGTTTTTCTTCCCTGGACGTTGCACCGGTATCCAGAGGCCTGCTCTTCGCTAACACCACCAATTGACTTATATCCCGGTCCTGAAATTTTGTCCTCTTCCCCAACCTCCCCGTCAGCGCAAATTCAAAGCCATTTTCTCGCGCTGCATGCTCCAAATCCGCTCTTGCTTGCGAGTCAAGGCCATGATGCGTATGTATTGCAGCTCGTTCCAAAAGGTACCTCATTTTCTGCTCTGCGGTAGTAACTGAAGGTTCGCCAAAAATACGCTTAGCGATAGCATCTAAATCCTCGTAGATGACAATCTGTAAAGTATCCGTATTCTCAGATAGCATCTTCTGATGCAGAAAATTTACCCTCATCCTAGCCGTCAACGCCGTCACCGGCACTTCCTGCCCACTTTCTCGCACCTCAAACAGCTTCTCACTCGTAAAAATAGCCTTTGCAACACAGAATAGCTCCACGTTTGGCGTGAGTCTATACGCCGCCTCACCATCCACAGATAATCCTCGAATCATGACATCCCGAAGTCTGCGCAGCACGCTCCGCACCTCGGCACCCTGCTTACCACTCGTCAATCCCGACGGAAGCACAACATCGCCAGGACGAAACGACAACGGCGGGCCGGTAACATTAGACTGCAAAAACGCCAGCAGCGAGGCATATCCGACATGCACCAACCTCGAGCGCACGATATCCGCACTCTCAGCCTCTCCGGAAAGAAGCGCATGCACATTCCTCCCAACAAACTCTGTAAAAGAGACGCTTCCATTTCTCACATCGGCAAGCAGTGATGCATCGCCGAGACCCTCATGTCCAAATATCCTCTGCGCCACCGGTGATCTCAGAGTACCCAGACATTCTTGCTCAGTCAGGCGCAAAGAATCGTACCCCGATGGCTGCGTGGACGAGGGGCAAACAGCATAGAGGGTATCAAATGAGGGTGGAAGAGAATTCTCTGACGGAGACGGCATTGTGAATCAGGCTACTTATGTATCCGGAACTTCCTATCCCATCCCATGCAATATAGATCAGAAAACCTACTCACGTGCGGGCAGCAGTCTTCTGTCCGTCTCTTTGTGCAAAACCCCACACTGCGATAAGACAAAAATATCGGACAGCCCCTCACTCACGTGACCCATACCAAAATACACATACAAATCTCAACTTTTTGCTCTCTTATATCTCAACAACATTGTTGAATATAGACTTTAGAATTTAGATGTAGAGTATATAGACACTTAATAAACTCCATATAATGATGTGACAGTTAGCCAGCGGCCGAAAATAACCATTTTTAGTGCCGTTTTTGGCCTCCTGCTAACCGCCCTTGATAATCACGTGAATCAATCCACACGGCCACAGCCTTTTGTCGAGACACTAGTCTCTATGTAGTTAGTCTCCAGCTTAGCAGCCCGGATTTTCTTTGATCTGATGCAGAGTTTTCATCTTGCTTCTCATCCCACAATTCTTTGGATGAGACTAGTAAGAGCATGCACATCTATTGAGTTCATGTTCTGTGGTTCCTATGGCTTCCACTTATGGTTAATAGTCTTGTAGGCCCTTTGAAAGATTCTGAGCCCTTCTTTAGAAATCTTTGAAGCCTTTACAGTTGCCAAAAACAGAAAAAACTCTTGATGAAATTGTGAGGATTCGCCGCGAACCCCTTACACGGATGAACAGCACCCGCGAGGGCCAGAGGCCTCAGCTCGCGAGCTGCTGGGAGTTGCATGTGTCCTCGCGAGGCACTAAGTCACGTGCTCGCGAGCACACATAAAAGGCCGTCACTGCGCGAACCCCTTGCTGGGAGCCAGTGGCAATCTTGTTTACAAGTTGTACATAGTTGCCAGAATACAGACCTTTTACCTCGCGTACTCTTTTTCCACATATATTCCTTCTAGAGATTCATTGTCACGCTGATCCACACGTACGATCCTCACAGAAATGATGAACATTAATCTGAAGAGCTCTTCAGCTTCAAACCCTAGTCTAGTGACATGAGTTCCCCTGAACATTTGATGTTGTCTGATGCTTGGTTGGCCTACATTTGTAACACTACATATTATTGTGTTATTAGAGTTGTGTTAATATCACATCTCTAGTGAGACTGTACTCTTTTTCTTATAAGGAAATTTTTATTTTTCCCAAGAGGTGTTTTGTTTTTCTACTCATGAAGATTTTTAATGAGACAGCCATCTTGAGAAATCAAGACTAATAAGAGAGGAAAATCTGTAAGAATTTACTGCAAATCTCTTATACAGACAAACAACATCTACAAGAGTCAAGAGCCTTGTCTCACAAGCTGTTGGAAGTTGCATGTGTTCTTATGAGGCACTAAGTTACATGCTCACAAGCACACATAAAAGACTGCCACTGTGTGAATCTCTTGCTGGAAGCCAGTAGCAATCTTGTCTACATGTTATACATAGTTGCCAGAATACCAGACCTTTTACCTCATGTACTGAAGCGGGGTACAATAGGATGCCTCGTCAAAGTAGGTGATTTGGGTGAGAAGGTGATAGTGCAAGAGAAGTAAAAAAACCACAATATGGTAGGGATAGTACTGGACCGAGTAGTGAGAGCAATGATAGGTATGTCCTAATAGATGCCTAAGCTCATAAGGAGAAAGAGTGTTAAGGAGCCCTGTACTAACACAGGCAGCTCTAAAGAGGAACAGTAGTATACTTCATGAACAAGAGATATTCACATTCTCTAACTAATAACCAAACTAGTAATAAAGAATGAGCGTGTGGTGAAGTGCAAAGGTGCGCGAAGGTAATGAGCGAGATGTAGGGGCTATGGGCAGTTTATATAGCTCAGGGATAGTAGCTTGGTGGGGTGGGGTTGGGGGGGGGGGGGGGGGGGGGGGTGGGTTTGCACCTTGGACCAGAACAACCTTTGTCCTAATATGGTACCGGAATCCCCACTACAGTACTCCGTACTCTTTTCCACATATATTCCTCCTAGAGATTCATTGTCACGCCAATCCACACGTACAATCCTCACAAGAGTATCAAGTTGGTAGAGCTGATTTAGTGCTGGTGCAAAGCCTGGGGAGCAAAGATCAGATGAGAAGAGATAGGGAGATAAGATAAGAGTAGATAAGATTAAGATAAGAACTCTAGCTTGCTTGGCACATCTCAACAAAAATGTGAGTAAGCAAGAGTCTTGGCAAGGAAAATCAAAATAAAAGAGTGTCTGGTAAGAGATTTTTCAGATAGAAATAGTGTAATAACACAACAAATAATAGAGCTGTAATAGAGAAAATTTGGTAATTTGTATAAGGAGTGCTATTGAGGTTGTCTCTCAAAATTCAGATGAAAATACCATGTGGTTGCTGAGTAATAGTGTGAGAAGCGTTTCTGATGGGCGCAAGGCTGGCACCATCTATTTCCACTTATATCTCAACAACTTGCAAGGCAATTCACCTGAAAATTGGAGGGATTCTTAGGTAGAGAAATAGCTTTCAAATGAACAGGTTTCATCCAGTTTGAACAAGAATTGACTGAGTTGTGTGTAGTTACTCTCGCCCAGCAGATACAAACACTCCTGATAGTACGGAGTAGATAACATTTATTAGTGTGGCTTCTTTCCACAGAACTGTAAAGCATCAGAGAGCAATCATCTACATCACCAGTCTGAAGCAGCCAAAACCAGTCTGTTTGTGCTTATTTTTGCTGTGAAATGAATGTATGATGATGAAGACTGCAAGATTTGATTGGTGCTGAAAAATCAGACTATGTCGCGTGCAAAAGTGTCCGAGTTCACCATGTGTCCGAGTTCACCATGTGTCCGAGTTCACCATGTGTCCGAGTTCACCATGTGTCCGAGTTCACCATGTGTCCGAGTTCACCATGTGTCCGAGTTCACCGTGAAATACGTTAGACAAGCTACTCTAACATTAAACAATGACACACACGCACACGCGTTCAAACAACGAAGAACCAAGGCCAAGAATCCACTGCGAAATGGAAGAGAATGGGGAGAGAGTGAGCGAGGTTTATGACTAGAGTTATGTTATTTGCGCGCTCTTGCTGTATTCAAGGTGTGAGAATGGCTTCGACATTAGTCGGCCGCTCTGGTCGAGAGTATCTTCGAGACAAGATCCTCAAGCACAACCCAAAAAATCCGGATCTCAGTGTCTATCTTGCGCGGTGAGCCACACATCTAGAACTGCACGAGTCTATTTCGTTATTGACTGGAAGATTTAGGTGCGGAAACCAAAACTTTGTGCTAAAACACGTATCCCCTTCGATCTTCGAACAATCGCTGGAACTTAAACAAGAGTTCCCAGAAACGCGTCGTCTTCGAGTGCATGATGATGATAATGAAGCAGAACGAATCCTTATCTACAACCACTTTAGCGATAATTTGCTTTCTCTTGTGAAGAACAACCCGAACATGTCGATTGCGCCTCGGAAACGGATATTGTGGGAACTTGGGCAGGCGCTAAGGGAGTTTCATGCCAAGAACTGGATACATATTGGTAACATGCATCAGCCTGCTCATCAGATCCAGGCACTAACCAAGTTTTCCTTTTTAGACGTCAAGCCTGATAATGTTATGGTTGATTACCGTTACGATCAGGACGGTCAGCTCAGACCAGAAAGGGTTGTGCTAGGTGACCTGGATTGCTCTTTGAAGCTAAAAGGCGACAAACTTCTTCATCTCCCAGACGGAATCAAAATAGGAAATGTCATGTGGCGCAGCCCCGAAGCGCAAACGGGACAGGGGATTGGCAAACCGTCGGATGTATTCTCTTATGGGCTTGTGGTGAGTGAGCTTATGCTTTCAATTGAGGTGTTTTTGCTAAAGATGGTTTGTCTACTAATAGTGCCTGTACACCATCACCGGTGTGGAAACCCTGCACCCGGATTTCGAGCAGTTAAAGAGAGATATGATCGAACCTGAACTGGAGATTATGGGTAGATTGATATCTTTTTTTGGGCCGGTCCCAGACGAACTTGTGACTCATGTTAATAATGAGAACTGGGGTCAAATCATGATGGCTATATCAGAAGGGACATTCGATGGAGGCCCAGTCGGGCCTGGGCGTATCGAGAAGTGGGAGGAGAAAGATTACCCCAATCTTAACTCCAAGACAAAAAGATTTCTCTGCAGAATGACAAACCTCAGTCCATTGAAGCGAGCTACTATGGAAGAACTTATGGAAGATCCCTGGTGGAACATGTAATAGCATGTCTACTCCAACGTCAACAATAACCACGCATGAGGCGCAGCGTAGCTAGAAAAAATAAATGAAGAAAGATCTAGTTCAAGGATGTTCATCTCGCTGCTGTTTCCAATCTTAATGAGTTGTAAATGTAATGTAGAAAGAACCTAATATTTCTTTCATGATAAGCATTTTCTAATTCTCTAACAAAAACCTAACTGCCATTCTAAACTCATCTATTCATCCCACACTGCCATCTAGTCTTCTGTTGAATTCCACAATGCGTCTACTCCCGCCACTCTTCATACATCACTCTTGACTCAAGGATAAACGTGCTTGGTAGTGATGTGATTTCCGTTATCATCTTCGTAAACAGTGGTGAAGTGATCCTTGCTATCACTTTCACTGGGGTGCTCGTTCTCGCTAATCTTGTTGTTACTATCTAATCGCCATCAGCTGAAATGGAAAAGTATATCACTCATGCTAGGGTGGCACTGGCAGCTCCCTCGGGAACATCCGCCTTCTCGATGGCTTTGACAAAGTCCTGCTGTACATTTTTTGCTAAAAGCAGTCGAGCCCATGCAGTCGTCCGGGTAGCATATTTCACGTCCAGATTCTTTCCATTTTTAACAATAGTCTTGATGAGCAACGAGTTGAGGATACTGTAAGGCATTTTTGCATAAGAAAGTTCGAAGAAGCAGTTGTTTGGCTTGTGTGGAGGGAGAAAATTTTTGATCTTGGGGCCTGCTCAATGAGAGCTGGGGTTATCTGCTTTTATCGCATTCGACTGTACGGCACTAATAGGAGGAAAACGCACTTTGAACGTCGGGCGCTTACAGGGAGCCAATAATAGCATTGTACAGGAGACCACCCGACAGGGAGTTTTCACCAGCAGCAAATCACAGATAGGTATGTCGCTGAGCAGGCAGCAAGAAAGCATCCAACACAAAACACCGTCAATTCCTGCACCGCGGTGCCGCTAATGTCCACTCGAAGTCAGCGGCTCGTCCGAGGAAGTGTTTGAAGTTGGCATTCCGTCAACGAGACAATCACAAATGAAAATACTAGTAGTATTTAAGGATCGTTCTCCATGCTCAGGTCAAGCTGGGCTTTCATTAATGGCCATTTGTGCCGACCGCTTTGCCAAGGATTCTGGCGAGAAGAGGCTCATCTGTATGCCTGCCACACCTCATCATTGCACAACGGCAATCAATGAGTGGTAAAGATTGAAGCAGCCCGGCTGCGCCGCGTGGAACAAGGGTCCCATCCCAGCAAGCGCCGGTCTTTGACGCGCCCGCCCCCTCTCCAGCAAATGGGGCTTTTCCATGACGCTGGATCGCTCCGTGCCGGGGTGGCTGCTTCAACTCAGATGAGTGGAGGAGCGGCTGATCAGACAAAGGCAGTAGTACCTTCGTCATCTCGCAGTTTTGCATAGCAAAAGCGGGCACCCTTGGCGGCCTCGGAAGGCCTCTATTTGTCACTCCGCAAGCGCCCAACATGGAAAGAGACCCAAAGGAGATAGCTTCTGTTGTCTCCGGGGCATTGCGAGAAACTCCGCTGACTGGATGTGGGCATCAGTGCTTGCAGCTCATGCCGCCCGTCAAGGCAGGCAACAACCTGAAGTGAAGGGAGCCTGGCGAGGGGTTAAGACTCGCCAGGTGATGGGCTGAAGGCATGCATCGAAAAATTTGCATTGACATCACCGATCTGAGCAACCCATTCGCGAATCACGAAAGGCTCTCCCAGACCACGAGGCAATGGAAGCTGAGACTAAGAAAGGGAAAGGAAAAAGAAAATGATGTGTCATATCAGACACACTCGGATAGGGCGGGGATGTGGCCGCTTTGCCAAAGACGATAATTTTTTCTTGGCACCCCCCTCATATAAGTATTGCAGACGGCTTTTCATGAAGGCGGAACCCAGGGCCCCACCAATGAAAGAAGGAGTCTGCATGGACGGTGACATTCTCTCGAAGGGCCTACAAGGCTACTAACCATATGCGGAAGCTATAGGAACCACGGAACGTGAACTCCATACTCCGTACATCTGTGCTCTCTTCCGCCTCTCTTCTAAGAGAATGAGATGAGAATGCGAGATGAAAGGTCTGCATCGGATCAAAGAAGATCCGAGCCGCTAAGCTGGAGGCTAACTACATAGAGACTAGTGTCTCGACACATTCTGATATTTACACAACTCTTTTGATTGGATGTCATCTATCCGCTAGTTAGCAGGCGCCAAAAAATGGCAGCAAAATCTGCCATGTTCAGCCGCCAGCTAACTGTCACATTGTTAAATGGGGTAATTCTTATAATTTACAAAATTTTATTATATCTGTATAGTATCTTCTTCATTTTACTTGTTAAGATATAAGAAAGCAAAAAGTTAAGATTTGTATGTATATTTTGGTGATCCGCTCGCCGGGTGTTTGGGTTGGGGGGGAAAGGATTACGTTAATTACTTGAGCGGTTTTGGAACATTGAAGCAATGTGCAGGATTACAGAAGACAAGTCCACCTCCTATGATCGAAAGTGCTTTTCGATATCCGTCCCCTCCTTTTTATGGTGCTTTCATCTTTTTATGACTGTGTGGGCATTGCTTCAAGTGTATGGCTAGAGGTGAAATAGAAATAATAATCCTTTTAAGAGAACCAAGACAGAAATCTAATTTTGGTCTATCCGTAGGAATTAACATGAACATGACAGGCGAACTGGTATTAGCCTTGGAAATCAATGAGCCTTTTCCATCCAACGCCAAAATATTGCAAATAAAAGTCGTAAACATCGCAACATGGAAAACAGAAGACGTTCAAAAAGACCTCCAGAAAGACAACTGTCTAGAGTGGGTTATCTATCCGAAAAGAAATGCAAAAAATGGAAAATGGGCCGGTAAACCCAAGGGAAAGAAAACCGAATCATTAGCAAAGGAAAAGAAAAAGCTGTCGACAAAGACAATTAAAAGTCATCCTCATCGGAGAAAACTTCCTCGCCACGCTTGCGTCTATAGGCATAAACAGTTAGTCTAATCTGTCGAATAGGTAGATGGGGGGGGAGAGAAAAGGATATGAAACTTACCGAGCCATTCTCTCCTTCTTCTTCTTACGGAGCTCAGAAGAAGTGAGCTTCTTCTTCTTGCCACCACCCACGATCTTGTTGCCCATGGCGTCGAACTTCTCCTCATCGTCGTCTTTCTCGGTGAGACGAGGACCAGACCCCTGACCTTGCACCCAGTTGTGACCGGATGGGGTCATCTTTCCGTCCAATACCGCCCAGACCTCGCTGGTGAGGTTCTCTGTGAACTCCTTGGAGTGGGTGATGATGATGACACCACCCTCGAAGCTCTTGAGAGCCTTTGACAGGGCACCAAGGGAGTCACGGTCCAGGTAGTTGGTCGGCTCGTCAAGGACGATCAAGTGAGGACGCTGCCAAGAGCAGGCAGCAAGGACGACCTTGACACGCTGACCGCCGGACAAACCGCGCATGCGGGAGTGAGAAACCAGCTCAGCATCGAGACCGAAATTGGCACAGTGAGCCTCAATTTCCTTGCGGATAAGGGGACGGAACTGACCGCTGGCGAGGGCTTCCTTCTGATCGACTTCAGCCACCATCTTGGCGTGGGTGGCGAGAAGTTCCGTGCGTGGAATCCAGGCGTTGTCAGCGGTCATCATTGGGGTCCATTTCTCATTCTTCTGGCCAATGTTCTCGCCGAGGGTGAAAGAACATTCGTACTCGTACGAGTTCTTGAACTTGCGGCGCGCGTGGATACCGATGATGCGACGAGAAGAGCCTTCGATCTTGTAGATCTTATCCATGGCCTTCTCGTCCTCTTCCGTGACGATCTTGTTGGCTCGGTCCATGGTTTCACGGTCCTCACCAGTCTGGAAACGCCATTGGATGTATTCGGAGGGGGTCTTGTCCAAATGGTTATCGATATGCGCGAACGCGTGCTGCTTGATGTACGCGATACGAATGTTCTCATGCTGGTAAATGTCACCAGAGGTTGGGATGAGTTCACCAGTCAAGATATTGACCAGGGTGGATTTACCGGCACCGTTGGGACCGATGACGGCAATCCGGGAACCGAGAGAGCACTGGAAGGTGATGTCCGTGAGTTGGGGCTTGGACGTTCCGGGGTATTGGAACGACATGTTTGTCACACGGACGATGGCCTTGGCCTTTGTCTTGACACCTTCGAGGAAGCCGGGCTCGGGGAACTTGAACTCCATCTCGGAGGCATCGAGATCGAAGTAAGATCGGGCAGAGGGGAGCTTCTTGACGAATTCGGTGAGGTTACCGCGGTAGCGGCGGAGCTTGAAGCGCTCGTAGTGGATGACGTGCTGGATGACGTTGTTCAGGAATCCACTGTCGTGAGAGACGATGATGGACGTGCAAGGCGAGTTGATGAGGTACTGTTCGAGCCAGGCAACGTTCTTCACGTCGAGATGGTTGGTGGGTTCGTCGAGGAGCAGGATGTCAGGGCTCTCGAACACAGCACGGGCAAGAGCGAGCTTCATCTTCCAACCGCCGGAAAGAGAAGTGATGGGGTTCTCGAATTGCTCTTGGAGGAAACCGAACTCGAGCAGCTTGGCCTCGATCTCTTCGCGAGGGGTAGTGATGCCGACGTCGGCAAGCTTCTTCTGAGTCCAGCCAATGACGGTCTGCTCGGTGTCGGCGGCATCGAGGTCGTGCTCGACGAACACAGTCTTCACTTCATCCTTCTTGGGGAAACCCTCAACCTGTTCGTTGTTGATGGCGCGCATGAGGGTGGATTTTCCGGAACCGTTGGGGCCCAGAAGACCGTAGCGCTGGCCGCGCTTGAGGCGGAGGTGGGTTTGGTTAAGGAGGATCTTGGCACCGTAGGCCAAATTGAATGTGCAGTTGCAGAGGTCTTCGCCCTCCTCTTCGTCTTCCTCAACCTCGACCTCCTCGGCGGCACCGGGAGAGGCACGCTTGCGGAGAGTCTCGGCGATCGGCTTGGCAGAATCCTCACCGACGATGGCACCGAGGTAGGCAAGGGTGTTCTCAGTCCAGCTGGCGACATCAGAAACCTTCTCGTCAATGAGCTGACCAGCGATGGCAGCAATGTATTCGATAGTAGCTTGGAACTTGGGGATAGAGGCCTTGTGCTGAGGCTCGAGGATCTCCTTCAAGATAGCGGAGACGGTGGCGATATCACCGGCAGTAGAAACCTCGGGGATCTTGCCATCCTTGACATCACCAACACGGATCAAGGTGTCGAGAGCCTGCTTGGTCTTTCCACGAGCCTCGGGATCGGCAAGGGTATCGAAGTTCTTGTTGAGAGCGGGCATGAGCTTGGGCAAGAAAGCAGCGACGATCTGGGGATCCTCGACAAGCTTGCACATGTTGTCGACAATGACGGCGGATTTACGCTTGATGGCAGTCTCACGCTCAGCGAGACCACGATCGAGCAGAGGAACCATGATAGCAAGAGTAGGCTCATGCACGTCAGTGACGAAAGTAGTGGCACCCAACAGGTGAACGGTCTCTGGGACGTTCTCTGGCTTGGAGATACACTTGATGAGCTCGGGAATGAATCGCTCGATATCCTTGTTGACGATAAGGCCGCAGACCTTCTCCATCGTGCCGTAAGCCGCCTTCTTAACTTCGGGCTTGGTATCCCACATCGACTCGGAGACGACTGGGATCAAGTCTGGCACACGGTAGGAGAGCTGAACGGGGGCAGTCTCGACGAGAGACTCGATGCACTGAAGGGCGGTGATCTTCTCAGCCCACTTGAGAGCGTTCTGGAGAGAGTTGACGATGGCAGGAAGAGCAGCCTTGACGGCGTTGGGGTTGATGGACTTGACGATGGCGATGGCAGCGCTCTGGGCAAGGTTCTTGACAGATGTCATCTTGTCGCTGACGGCCACCAAGGTAGGACCAAGGAGAGAGAGGAGGTATGGCTCGACAGCGGGAGAAACTGTGGAGTGGTTGGCGATGGCCAAGATGGCATCGAGGGCCTTTTCGCGGGCAGTAGCATCTTTCTTGTTGGCCAGCTGCTTTTTGAGGGACTCGACAGCCCTACGATGAAGATGGTCAGGACCGGTTGGAAAGACGGGGGACCCAAAAAGAAAGAAAGCAAACAAATTACTTACTTGACTGGAAGAGCCTGTTCATCTGTAGGGCCGTTCAAAAGAGAGGCGATATTGTTAGCCGCAGCTCTGGTCTCAGCCTCGTTCTTTGAGACGGAGAGAGACTTGAGGAGTTCCTCGAGGACGGTGACCGACTGGGCGGACTCGTTGACGGAATCGACAGCAGGCATTTTTGAAAGAAGTCTAAAACTTTTTTTTGAAAGAAATAAAAGGGATATTAGATTAAATAAAAGAAAAAAAAAATGGGCTGGGTATCTTTTTCCCTGATCGCAAGGAAAACTTTTTTCTTCTCTCTTCAGAGCAACTCGCGTCGCCGAAGTGATAGCGAAGAAAGAAAAAGCCGGACTTCTATGGTTCTCTAGATCTCTATTCCTGTGTTTTGCAAAGGAAATGCAGAAGAAGAATCTATAAGAGATAGGAAAAGGAGAACAAGAAAGAGAGAGTGGAAAAGACAGAGTGGAGATGAAGAGAGAAGAGAGGAAGAAAGAAAAACTCTGAAGGTGGAGTGCGCAAAGGGATTTTATATGGCGGAGAGCACTCAACCAGCGATTCCAATTTTCCTTTTTTTTTTTTTTTTTTTTTTTTGGCACGAAAAAAAAATCAAAAATTCAGAATTTTTGGCCGCCAGGGTGGGTCCGCCGCCAGCGATAGCTGGTTATCAGTGGGAACTAGACCAAAGTCGGTTTGGCGCACCGGCAACAAGGGGCCTAATCGGGGCCCGCTCATTGGCCACTTCACAATTACATCAGCACGCGGTAATTTCCAGACGCTGAGTCAGGCAGCTGGCGGCCGCTGATTGGGCCAGCGCAGTGCCTCGCCAATGGTGACGTGAACGACCTGTAACGGTAATTACCTGCTTCAAGGGGGTTTGTGGGAGGGAAAGAGCCAGCTCTCAACCAGGGCATCGATCGCACTGTCCCTTGCCTGCACGCGTCGAGCTCGGAAATTTTGACTGGCCGCAGGGGGGAAGGAACATTCTGCGCAAGTCCCGGTACAAGGCAGCCAGGTACCGACCGACTCGCTGGAGCCGTGGGAAGCAGCGCCTTCGTTCCCATCTTACCTGGTCGAACCGCTGACGAAACCTTCTCGATTCGCCCCCCGGACCGGCTCCAGCCCCAACCTTCCGAGAAAATTCCCCCCTTCCCCAATAAATTTCCTTTTTTTTTTTTGTTTTTTTTTTCTCCGCCGTTCTCTGAGGCGAGGTACGCCGCTGTTACGTACTAGTACCCAAAAAAATACTGCTTGCATGGGACCCTGCCCCGTAGATCCTTGCAATAGGGCTGCCCTCAGCCCCGGGGAGATTGGTACAGTACAGTACATTGCTCCTGTCGTATGTCCCGTCAATCGCGGCCCAGGGGCTGCCAAACATGTGAAGCCCGGTTTCAGCCTCCTGCGCTCGCCGTTTGTGAGCAAATCAGGCACTTGTCCACAGGACAGGCCCAACTGTGGCATCTCCGTTCTAGACTCAGTCCTGGCTTAAATTGTTGACAGACTTCCCATACATATGTAACCCATAAATATGGCCCTGCGTTGTCGCTGATCTGGTGTGGCATTTCCTTATCCCCCAGAATTTTTTATCACTTATCTTTGTTATCATTTTGTCTTTCATGCATGCAGATCCCCCTTCCCCCTCCCCCCCCCAAGTCAAAAAGCAAGCCCAATCTTCTTTCACCGCCTTGGTCCGCCTGCAGAAAGATAACAAACATCATCATCATCATCTTCATCATCTTCTTCTTCTTCTTCTTCTTCTTTTTGTCCAGGACCCAAGGAAATCTTTTTCCATGCGCTAGCGTCCGCAAACACATCAGTTCTATGGACTCCAGCGCGGTCGCTTGAGGGTGGCTTCATCGTCCTTCACATAACCACCTGGATTATTTTTCATACCAAAGCTATCAGGATTACATTTGCGATGAGGCCATCTTGATCTTAACCCAGAGACAGTGGCTGAGCTGATCATGATACCCTTCGTCTCGTCATCATTAACTCTCTCTGCTTGTTCAAGAGCCGCCGTGGCGCTTAATCAAGTTTGACCTCAGCGGACAGGCAATTACATCACGTGAGGTTGAGCTTGGCGTGTTTGCAAGGTCCACCTGCTGAGAAATCAAACCCGTGCAAACAAGGCAAACTGGGGACGGGTTTCCCTCCGCCAGCTGGCAGCTAGGTGTTTGCATCGCCAGAGATATCTCGCTGGCTTCGTATTCACGGTGAAGCACAGCTCAAGAAGCACTTGAGGATTAGAAATCAACATGCAGGCTTCATAGGGGTCGAGGAGGCCGTTTCAGCGGTCATTATGTCTCCCTCGAAGGTATTTAATCGCCGTTGATACCCAGTATCAACAACTACTTTCTCTCACACATTCGCATATCATCTTCATGACCTTTTAAGAAGTACAATCCATAGTACTAGCAGACTCTCTCTTAAAACCTTTCACAAGTGAGAAAAAAAGACCCAAAAAAAGAAAAAGGGCCATGGCCGCGTATACAGGGAAAAATGTTGTCATAATTGGAGGCACCCAAGGCATCGGGCTTGCAACTGCGAAACTCTTCCTGTCCCACGGTGCTAAAGTCGTCGTTACTGGCCGCCGTCGAGAACCTGTGGCTGCCGCGAAGCAGGAGCTCGGTGCTGCCGCCCTCGTTTTGCAATCGGACATAACCTCCCTTGACGCACATGCGGACCTCGAGCGGCTTGCGGAGCAGCACCTCGGCTCCGGAGAAGTCATCGACCTTCTCTTCCTCAACGTCGGCTACGCAAACCTCTCCCCCGTCAGTGAGATGACCGAAGACCTATTCGACAGGCACTTCAACACCAACACCCGAGGTCCCATCTTCCTCGCGAAACGGATGATTCCGCACATGCGGCCCGGCGGGGCCATTGTTTTCACCACCAGCGTCTCCGTGGATCAGGGCCACCCCGGCATGGCGGTTTACTCCGCCTCGAAAGCTGCCATCTATTCCTTTGTGCAGACCCTCGCTGCGGAGCTGGCTAGAGGCAAGGACGGCAAGGAGGGTATCAGGGTGAACTGCGTCAGCCCGGGATTCGTCGACACGCCGACACTCGGCGTCGTCGATGCTCCTAAGGAAGCTGTTGCGACCTTTGCGGACCTGGGACGACAGTCGACTCCCTTAGCAAGGATCGCAAGGCCGGAGGAGGTCGCCAAGGCGGTAGCTTTCTTGGGATTCGATGCCACCTTTACAACCGGCACAGAATTTCTGATGGACGGTGGTTTGAGGCATTTAGTTCTAGCTCATTAGTTGAGATCTACTCATAGCTACTCGAATTGCTGTCAATAGAGAGAGAGATGATAATGCGATTTTGCCTGGCTTATACCTCCGTATCATGTCATCTACTTTCCCCTGTTACATCCTCATTAGTTGGTACGTGATACCACCCTCTTTACTGTCACATCATTGTAATGATAATACCTTTCCATTCGCAGGAGTACCCATTGTACCACTTAGACCTGGGTGCGTGATCTTCTGACCAGAGCCGGTCAAGGTACAACACTTAGCCTCCCCAACCCCCAGGGTACGAGCACAGCCCAATTGCTAACATACATACATACATACAAAAGGTTATACATGGATCTCAGCGAGACAGCCCATAAGAGTCCAGAATGGTCTAGTATATCGGAGAGGGTTTATTCGCGATGCAGAAACGACCTAAACACTTATTTATAGATCTCACGGGGGCTAGATTGGCCGCCGATGCAATCTCGATTCTTACCGGTTGGGATGGGGTTTTTTGGCAGGGGGATCTACGGGGCGCAACCCGATTCGCTCCGAGGTTCGAGATTCAATGACTCGGGAAACCCAGAACTTGGGGGGGGGGGGGGGGGGGTGGGGGGACCCAAAACCCAACCGATGAACGCATCCCTTCGTCATGTTGAGCTCATAAACGGAAATACATTAGAGCAAACATTACAAAAAGGTGCCCGAACCGTGCAATGCATATCCTACATATTAAAACGCCGAAAGTCGCACGTCCAAATGCCATCCTGAGAATTTTCAAGTTGAAAGTCATCACCAACGGTGCCGTGGTTTAAAAAAAAAAAAAGAAAAGAAAAGAAAAGAAAAGAAAGGAAAAAAGGGCACCCGAGACTAACACCAACATCAAGGCCAGCACCTCCTGGACCCAGCCACATTGGCCTTTGGCCTCCACAGGGCCCAGCAGATGGTTATAACGCCCTTTATCCCCGCCGCCAACCACAATGAACAGGACAAATCTACGGCCTTGGTCAGCGCGCCAGACAGCATCGCACCGCCGAACAACGCCAACACCGTGGCTCCACGGCGGTTCCGCACTAGATTCGTCTTCGCGAGCACGCGAGGATCGATAAATAGATCCGCAAGGACCGTCGTCAGCACCACCGTGGGTATTTCTTCGACTTGCACCATGCGCGACGTCACGATTTGGCCGGCAGCCTGGAACGCGAGGAGGGCAATCGGGACCATTTGAAGCCAGTGGACGCCATGGATTGAGGATGAGATCTCGGAGTCGATTATCCCCGTCTCCACGAGGATGCTGGATGCTAGTATGCTGCCGGTCTGAAGCATGAAGGATGCGAGGAGGGTCGAGCGGCGAAGCGGACCGAGGAGTCTCGAGGCATGCGTGAAGAATAGGACTGCGGATATGAACGTTGCGATTGCGATGAGCGATTTAGCCCATCGAAATCGCGGTTCGGGTGGCTGTCCAGATACTCCGAGGGCGAGAAACACGACATTCCCTGCGATGTACAGTGCAAAGGTGAGAATACCATCCAAGGAGCCAGGCTACATCCAACCATGCACCTTCCGATGTTGTGGAGGAATGAATAAATGACGGATCTTGGGGAGGAAGACCATACCAGTCTGCATGCTGGCAAAGCTTCCCCAAGCATTGAAGGCTGCGCTGTCAATTACCCCGGAGATAAACGAGCAAGCAATAAGGAGAAGATCGCTTCTTTCGGTATCGACTTGCTCCTGGAAGTATCGTGCGGCTCTTGTTCTTATCGAGAAATCCGATACGGACTCCAAATCGTCAACTGCAGTAAAGGAAGAATAGGCAGAGATTGCAGGCAGTTCGTCTGTGGCCCCAAGGGCTTTTGACACACGACGCTCAACATCTCCAGGCGGCCTGTCCGTGGTTGAGGATGGCGGAGGTTGGTCAAAGGTAATAAAGCTTTTTTCGAAAGACATTCTTCAGCTCCTGCAGTGGTGCTCAGAGATCATTGACGATCAGGCTGAGATGGTTCAACTGTGGTCGCCCGAGCCTAATTTATATATATATATATATATATATATATATATGTGACCGATGTCGCGGCATCGTTTCTCGCTATTGTTTCCCCCCTGCAGGGACTGGGAACATAATCACCGTCCATTACCTTGCCTAGAGAGTTTTCCCGGTCAAGAAAACAATCTGTGTTTTGGTGTGCGCATCAGCCAACTGCTCCATATGACCCACGAGGCTGTCTCGAAAATGAGCAGCGGCGGACCAAACCGTCGAGGGCCCGCACTGACATGCCAATGACGGAAGCTTATTGGTAGGGCGTCGCTGTTTCGAGTTAAGTCTTGCTCTGTTTTTGTGGATGTCTTCAAGCGGCCAAGCCCTGGGCGAAAAAAAAACTGGGTTCCTCCGCCGCGAGCTTATCAGAGTTCGCGAGACTGGTTGCAGGCCGATCCATAAGAGAAGGAATATCGTAAGGTGACACCGCCAGCGCCGGCAGCTTTGGGACAATTCTTGGCCTCTATTTCCATAACAAAGCTGGGATGGCAGTGCTGATGCCTTCTCTGCCGCCAATTATGGTGAGGGAACAAAGGACTCCTTATGGTGCTAGAAAAAAATTTTTGCCAGAAGCTATCATAAGGCTTCAGTCCCCCCCCCCCCCCCCTTTTTTTTTTTTTTAAGATCCCATAAAGCCACATTCATGCACGCGTCCCATTCACCGCCTGGGTATCCCTGAATACCCTTCAGGGCCGAAATTCATCATCATCCTTCAAAGTGTTAAGCTTAATGGTGGCCAGGCGTCGCTGAGAATGATGATCCCTTCTGCTTTCCGCCATTCTATCGGAAAGTCGAGCGATTGGGGCGGCGGCTGAGTCTTGGCGGTCCGCCAAGCTCGTCGGACGCTAACTCTCTGGTCAATCGGAGCGTGCCAAGACACAATAGGAGACGAGCGCGACGCAAACAAATCACCGTCCATCCAAACTTTCTTGTCGCTGCATACACACAAAGCTCGGGGGGCATGGCAGGAAAAAAAAAGAAAAAAAGGAAAGGAAAAAAAAAGGAAAAACAGTCATAAGGGTGCAGAAAGGAAGAAGCCGTTGATGCACTGCCACGCACAAACAAACCCAAGGTAAAATTATCGGGGAGATGCACCGGCTGATAAGATTGTCGCTCTGATCGTCCGTCATGCAGCTTTCGGGTTATCCATTTAGAACCTTGCAGGGATCCTCGCGCGCACCTTGGGAACCTCCCACCATGGGCTCTAGAGTATTTGGAAGAAGTTATTACAGAAGGTACGCGCGTCGCAGTCTTTTTCGTATGTATACCTTCCAACGGCCCAGCGACTTGCGAATCAATGGTCATGGCGGTAAAATATATCGGAAGTTAGTTGTAGGAGAATAAGTTCTAGTTGTGGGTGCTGTGCAGTACCTTTTAGATCTCAGGCTGTCAACCACTAACCAAGCTGGAGGAGCCCAATGTCATCGCGATGCTAACTCACGGGTCCGCTGAAACAATGCTGGATAGACATAAGAATAGCGCTGTGATACCCTGGGAAACATCGGCCCAACGGTAGAGCACAGTTCGGATTTTGATGGCAAGGTCGGCCCACAACTCATGTTCCACATGCAACGAGAACTTCCCGTACAAAACTAAAATGGGCATCAAGCCAAAGTACAGGGAGCAGGGGCGAGAAGCGGGTCCGTATGTATGACCATGTGGCGCCAGCTCGCTAAATTTCGGGTTATCCAGCAAAAATGCGATAATGTTCGAGAATCATGATACATTGAGCGGAATGTAGGTACAGGGACGAAGAAGTTCATATGTACATCCATATACAGACAAACCGGAATCGGTTGTTAATAATAATGAGACCAAGCCAAAGAGAGGGCAACAAACCACAAAGGACAATAACCATAAACTAGACCAGTTAGTCTAGTCACTGTCACTGCTCGAGCTGCTTGAGCTGCTTGAGCTACTAGAGCTGCTCCCTCCTCGCTTATGCTTGTGCTTGTGCTTATGCTTGTCCTTCTTCTTCTTTTTGTGCCTAGGAAAAAAAAAGTTAAAAAGAAAAGAAAGGAAATTAGGCCGGCTCTCAGAGAATCTCCCAACAACGCTTCCGGAGAACATTTTATGAAAACTGGATACACTTACTTCTTGGCCGCATGCCCAACGAGATTCGCACCAGCAGCACCCAAAACTGCGCCGCCCAGAGCCCCCAGTGTTCCGCCACCCAGCTTGTGGCCGGCGAACCCACCGGCTGCACCCCCGAGAAGCGTGGAACCTAACCCCTTCTCACCTTCGGGACCACCGGTAGGGCCGGGAGGACCAGGCGGGCCACCACCGTACGGCGCCTGTTGTCCTCCAGGATACGGCTGGCTGTAATAGGACGTATTTTCTCCTCCCTGCTGAGGATACGCGTTGTACATTTGGCCACGGTTGTCGTAGCCGGGCTGTTGCGGGGGAGGATGGGCGCCGTACGGCTACATGAAACGGGGATGTGTTAACGATAACCAACTATTCCTTCTTGTGGGGGAAAGTAACTAACCTGCGGCGGCGGCGGCTGCTGCTGCTGCTGCTGCTGCTGACCATAATATCCCTGAGCACCCGGATTCTGCGGATACTGGCCGTACTGCTCATATGGAGGCTGCTGGCCATACTGCTCTTGGCCATAACCGGGAGGCGGTTGGTTGTATCCCTGCTGGCCCGGCGGCGGCGGCGGCGGACCACCATAGTAGCCAGACATGTTGAACGAATGTTTCAAGCAACCGACGTCAGATAAAACATAAAACAGGGACACGTTGTATTCAACAAAAGAAACCGAAAACAACGTCCGAAGTTGTCGCTCTGGGATGATGCGGGAAGACCTTAGGACGCGTGCGACCCCGTGACCAAGCCACTCGCCCGCCGGTATGGATGATGACACCTTTCCCCGCGTGGTGCGTGGAATTGTGGCTGCCGAGCGGAAGAGAGGGAACTTGCTCCTTCCCAAGTGTCCATGCCCGCTCACGCACGGGGTGTCTCCTTCCTTGGTGGGGTGCTTCTCGGCTCGTGTTTCAGGCGTTCTCGTGGCTGGGGCACCGGGCGGTGCAGCAGCGCCAAGACACACCAGTGGCTGACTAACCGCCGCAAGCCAGAGCAAGGAGCCAACCAGAGCCCACGATTGGTTTCTTGGCTTCGGAGTCAAGCTTTTCCGGTGGACCTCTCTGCGCAACCGCGTCTTGCCCGGCGGGCACCAAGCAGAATAGGCATGTCCGAGTCATAGGTTTTCCTACGCAGTTTCGCACGAGCCTTTTTCAAAGATGTGTGTGAACTGAGATATTCGGTCAAATGGTTATATTTCATACTTTTTTTCGGTTGCTCACTGCTGCAGTGTTGTCACAATCGAGAACAAAATTTGCAGTAACTTGATCACCATTTTTCATCATAGATTCGCGGGACATAGTAAGTATCTTCAACGTCGATAGATTAAACAGCCTGCAAATCGCTAACTTTCAGAATTAGATCGAAGATGCGCCTGTTTTTTTAGCCCAAGTATTTAGTTGAATAGAACTTCGTGCATGAGGTATATACACTTCTCGCCCTGACACGCCGACGAGTTCCTGAGCAACTCAATTATTTTGTTCAATACCCCGTACAGTTAGCCCAACAGCATGGGAGAGACCGGACACTCAAAAGTAAACTTATGTTCGTTTCCATCATAACAGCAGGGAGGGAGACCAAGCCTGCGGACACAAAAGAAAGGCACTTGCATCAAGGAGAAGCAGACCACAAAAAAAAAAAAAAAGGAAAAAAAAAGAAAAAGTATTCACAGGTAATTGCCGTACAAACGAGGAGAAAGCGAATCAGGATATCAAAGCACTTAAAGCTCGAATAAAAAATACTGTGTGTGCACGCGCGCGTAGAATCGGGCGAGCACCGACGTGTCGCACGTCGATTCTGATTTTCTGGGATAATAGTAGCAGAATGAGACGATCATGCATGACTTCACCAATCTTGGCCACGGTCCTGCATAAGAATCTCGAGCGCCATTTCTTCCGACATAGGGTCTTGATTCAAATCCTTCACGCACTCCATCAACCCCTCCGCAGCCGCATCCACTTGCTCAGCAGACCATCCTGTACACGCCATGACCATGCGCCGGTACTGTTCACCAAGAACAACGTTTTTAGACTTGAGGACCTCGATTTCTTCATTAATGTTTTTATTATGTTCTTCGTAGGCTTCGAGAAGTGTTTGGAGTTGGTCAGGCGAAGGTTGCTCCAGTAGGTACGACTTTTGTTCGTCGGAGAGTTCGCTCGAAGGATCAAACGTGTCAGGGAATAACGCGTAGAACTTGTCAGCATCAAATATAGCTTTTCTCTTCGAATTGCCACCAGCATTTCCATCACTCGCGTCCACGGCCTGCATTTCCTTTAACGTTGCAGCGAGCTCATCCGCCGATTGTTCGAGGTTCCGTGTCTGTCTCTGAAGTTCGACGCGTTCACGGGCTCTTCGCTTTATCTCGTCTAATTCGTTTTGCTCTATTTGCCGAAGTCTTGCGCTTTCACGTATCTTCGCGTGCCAGTGGTCAAACTCCTGTTGCTTCTGGCTCAGGTCATCGGACAGATCTTTATCCACCATACTGAAGGATTCCTCGATGGCAGAGGTTATCTGCACAATAGTGGCTGTGACCCAAGTTAATCAACAGTTCAAACGTGCAAGGAGAGTGCAGTGGACTTACAGTTGAGAATATCCTTTTTTGTTCTTGCAAGTTGGTTACTGAAAGAATCGTTTGCATCACCGTTCAGCTGGCCCTGTCCACCACTATTAACCATATCCACACCAACTCCATAGTCGGCGGGCCTAAGCCCAGTGTGGTTAGGTATATGAGGACTTGCGCCAACTTCCAGAAGCTGGGGAACAAGAATAGTGCGAGCCCTTCCAGCAAGATTTAATGCAGTGTCCCCTTTATCATCCTGGATGTTTACCATATCGGACATGAACCTCCCTAGACCTATTATCTCCATGCTCTGGGGGCCCAAAACATTATTGGCACCGTTCACAGCACTTTGCTGGCTATTGGAGGGACCTCCATGACGTACTATAAATTCAAGGAGACATTCCAAGTAGTGCTTTGCAGCAACATGGCCATCACCTCCTGTTGCAGCCATCATCGCAATATGATGCAAGACCGTCCGTCCATGATGGTCAATTATTTCGATGGTCGGAGCAAGCACTTGTAAGAGTTTTGAAAATGTCCGATAGTCAAGATTGTTTCTCGTGCCGACGGCCTTTTGAAGCGCCGTCTCACCGGCAGCGTTAAGTCGATGTATGCTGACTCCTTTGGCAACCAGAGCGTGGAGCAATGGCATACGAGCAAGCATAGCAGCCCAGTGTAGGGCGCTGTTAAGATATTCATCAAGTGGGATTTCCAGATCTTCGCTAGACAACGTAAGGAAGGCAGGATGAGTAGAGAAATCCTTTGCGCGTTTGTCCAGAAATAGGGTCATGATAAGCTTCATCTTCTGATATCTCTCTGGGGTGGTGGCCGCCGGTAAAGGTTTCAGACCGTGAGCATAATCGCTAGCACCATCGGTTTGGGCTTCAATCTGCTCGTAGAACGATTCACTTGGCTCAGTCGGCGTCGGATCGTTCATAGAAGCATTGAATGACCGTGGTTGTAAGGATGAGCACGAGCGCATTCGTTTTCGCGGAGGTTCTTGGGTTTCTTCTCCGTGATCTACCATGCTCCGCTGACTAGGCTGCATGTTGCTTGCGAAGCCACTATCAGACGCAACGCTGTACATACTCTGCTGGCTACCAAGGGGAATGTGTGATTCTTGGCTACTCATCTGTGATGACCTTCTCATCGCGCTAGGTTGTCGAGAATCGGGACCTCGGCTGGCTGGAGAGTCGAATCGTGCCTTGTTGATAGCACTCACAGCACTGGCCGCTGTGCGCGAAATACTCTGGAAGAACGTGCCATGGGACGAGGAGCTTTGGCTATCCATGCCATAGTAGAGTCGTTTTCTCTGAGCCGCCATAGCTTGCTCTTTTGTTGGAGTGTCGATTGCGCCCTGTCCCGCTTGGCTTACACCATCCTGACCCATGTCATATTCAAGCAGCGGGCGTAAAAGATCTTCCACATGGTATCGCCGGCAAAGCTCCACCCCCCTCTGATAGCTAACCCAGGTACCTTGATATTTTCCATAGCCGCCCTGAACCTTCTCATGCTCGCCGGACACAACCTCTTTTTCCAAGGTTTTCGTACGACGTGCCTTAACAACACCTGCGACTTTGAGGATCTGCGTCGCATTCAACCACGAATCAGACCGTCGTCGCATTACCGCAACGCCGTTGACTTCCATTTCATAAACTGAGACGTTGGAGTAAACAGCCTAATCGAAGTCGCAAAAGAAAAAAAAAAAAGCATGGTTAGCCACCATCAACACGGTTTATCGAATAGTGATGCCTTGCGACACCCTCCATAGAGGATAAAACCAACCGTGTAGATTTGAGGTCTGTAGTTCCCGTTATAGAACCCATGCCCACTATTATCTCCATAGCCTCCGAAGCTGCGGCTTTCCATCAGCCTACCGCCTCCACCACCGTTCGAGAAACTAACGGACATGTTCGATTGTTGCGAGGCTGGCGGAGGAGGCGATGCGGCTGGGCCGGAGGCCGGAGGCTGAGAGGCACTAAAGGATGTTCGGTGCGATCGCGACAAGGGCGGTCCATTTGGCGGAGCGACACTGCTCTGCGAAGCCGACATGGATGGAGCGGAGAGAGAGAGTTGACTCCGGGTCGATGTGTTCCAATGGGAGAGGAAATAGTGGCCTTCGATTGGCTGGGTGCAGCATCAAAGTGCCGGGGAATGAAAGGGTGGTGGAAAAAGAAAGAGGAAGATTCCGCGATTAACTCATGTGGATCAGTAACTGTAAGCAATTAGCATAGGTAGGAAGCATGTCAATGCAGATAATGTGCAAAAGAGCTGATGATTGTCCATCAGCAGACAGCCAGGGCACACACCGCTGTCGAGTCGGGAGTCTGTCGCGACGCTGACGCTCAAATGAAGAAGAACCGCGTAGTCACGTTACTCTGCCATGGATTGCCCAGTCACTCTCCAAAAAGCTAGCTCGGTCGACGTGAACATTCACAGCCAAACACACGCAAACCAGTGCCAGATTATTACACTATTCCAGAAAAAATAAATAACTCTGTGCACAACGACATTCTGCTTGCGGTTGTTTCCTGTCTCTCTCCTGGGATCACGCGGGGTCGCGAGCCGGGCATTGGGACGAAAAGCAAACTTCCCATGAAACTCAATTTTTTATCGCGTCTCCTCGCGTTGCTTGACTAAGCAAGTGAACAACCTTCTCGAACGACAGCAGAGAAACAGGCACAGATCTTGCCCCCAGCACCCAATACAATAGCATCAAGGCCTGGGAGAGTTCTCCAATGGCTGTGCCTTCGGTGCTAGCTACCCGCTCCACGCCATGGCGGCATCTCTACCGGTCCCTTCTGCGCGAATGCACATATCTCCCCGACCCGATCGCTTCAGGCTACATGCACAACTACATTCGCTCGGGCTTTCGAGAGAGCGTCTCCGAGCACAAAATACGGGGCCTGAAGCCGATTCAGAAGCTGCATCGGCACCGACGATTCCGGAAGCTCTTGTCGCTCCTCCACCGTGCCAATCAGGGATATCTAAAGTCGTTGCAACGAGTGCTCTTCCTCTCGTACGGCAGGATTGGAAAGCGACGCAATTTTCTCATGCGCCCATTGCTTGGAGATCAAAAAAAAATCGAAACCTACGGCGATGATTGGGAACCTCCCAGTGCCCTTCTAACACTGGTAAGAGATCAATCCAGACGGAAAGCGGTTTCCGAGCTGAAACTGCGACGCAACGTGAAAGTGTTCGAACCGCCTATTCCCAAGACAAACAGCTGGGGGAGGCCAACACCGTTCAAACGTCGTGTGAATATCCGGAGGAAATGGCATCAATCGCTGATGAATAGTGTTCTTCCAATGCTACCGGAGCAGGAATGGGAAGTCCTTCAAGGCCTAGCTTCTGGGAAGGCACCGTGGAGCGCTCCTAAGCGGAGGAAAACCCCAGCATCTCACCAACAAGATACCCTGCTTACACCTGAGTTCATCGTCTACGGCCCGCCAAAAGGCCCTACGTTTGCAACGTATCTAAAAGGCCGGCCTCATAACATTACCCGAAAATTCATGGAGAATATATGGAAGAAGGTATGCACTCTTACGCCGAAAATGACCTGGGATGAAACCAAGGATAAATGGTCAATTACTTGGGGACTACTTGACGTTCCACGGCGACATCCTTCGCGAAAGCTAGATCCGGAGAAGGGGGCCACCCTGTTCCAAGGGATTGATCCGCGGACAGGGCTGACTGAGAGGCAAAAATCGAACAAGGCCAAAATATGAGGAATAATGGATATCGAATGTTGGAATGTATTCCAGCACTACTGTGTACAGATTCGATCATTTACCTGGCTATATGCAAGCAAACACCACGAATTAGCTTTACATATGCGAGAGGACACATGCCATTGCATCGCCAGAAAGTTGGATCCTTGACATATCGATAGAGGACCTAGAGCGTATTTAGCCAACTTTTATCGCGGTTCCAATTTTCCTTTTAGCATTCCACAGAAGCTCTCGAACAGGACTGAGTCGAACCCCTTAATCCATCTCACAATCACGTCTACGTTCTCTATTCCTGTTTGTGTCACAAGGACAGCAAATCCCAGGGCCGCCTTACTCTCATCGATAGATTTGGATAAACTTTCCGCCGTTTGGCCTTCGACTATAAGATGCTGTCTCTTTCTTCGCGCCTGCCGGGACCAAACATTCTCCATTGCAAATCCAAGGCCTCGCGATGCATGTTGATCCCAACTCCAGAGCATTTGAAGAGACTTCATTTCGTCGTTAATCTTGTGGATGAGAAACGTGATTGACTCGAACTCCGGGTGAAATGTGAATTCAGAGGGAAAAGGGAGGAGGTGTTTTGGAATACTGGAAATGTTTCTGGCAACACCCATTGTTGGCCTTAGATCTCTCCACGACCAGGCAATTGCCCATCTTCGTGTTTTCGACCCCTGCACGAACTCCGTGACGGCCCAATTTTGGTTACCACTTTCCAACAGCTTCTCGATAAGTTTTGTGACACTGCTCAGTTTCCCGAGCATTGATGTGTACCATTGAACTTTGTTGCGAAGTTTGAGGCTTTCGTCAATTATTCTCTGTACGAAACTTTCCTCCCCGCCCGCCGTAACCATTTCTACTGGTGCTCCGGTACACGCCTATAGGAGCCTTTTTAGCGGAAATCCTTTCAAAATTACCAATAGTTTTTCCTTGACATACCGAATTAGGTGGGCGGTGCTTCAGATTAGCCGAGGCAAGCATTTCCTCTTCGGATTCATAAAACGGCGGATTACACATTGTGAATTGTAGTCTGAATGTTTGAGTGAGACGCCACACAAAATTCAAAACGGCTGCTTACCTCTCAAAAGGCACTTTATCCCCCAAAGCTATCAAGGGATCTTCTGCTGTGGTCTTAACCACACGAATACGAGATTGCAAATTATTCCTCTTCACATTCTCTTGGGCGTACTGGAAATTTTTATCGTTTATATCTAATCCCGCATCAGTATCGGCAAACATTCGACAACTGTGCTAGAAAAGAGAAACAGAGATAGAAATATACCCGTGGCAACAAACATCCATTTCGGCCTCTGGGCACATGCAAGCAATGGATATATGCAACTGGCCCCTGTTCCTCTACAACAAGCCGCATTAGCATATAATGTTAGGTATAATAACAATAAAAACATAGAAGACCATACATATCTAATCCAACAACCTCCCTTTCGGGATCATATCCGCCTCTGTAATCATCGTTCGTTGTATCAATTAAGTCTTGTAGCCAGAGGACGTAGTTGAAGCTAGATATATGCTTCAGTCCAACCCTTCATCTAAATCCTTCCACTTTAGTCTACCAATCAGAAGGGCCATATATACCGATTAGGGACCTAATATCGAAATCACGCTGTTAGCCGGAAGACCGGGGGCTCATCTTGGATAAGTAAGAAGCGTATATACGCACTGGCGGACACAGCCGATCGTCGGATAACTCCACATTCAACTTGAAATCTCGCCTCAGCAGACTTTTAGTCAACTGCCTGATGGTAACCAGTTAGTCGGGGTTGTTTCATGTTACAAGGAAATACCCTGGAGGCGTTGCCGCGAGCAGCTTGGACGTCTCGTTGAGAGAGCATAAACTGGGGAACGCCGGGGGGGTTGGGTGGGGGTGTTAAATCGTACCTCACAGCGCCGGGGTCGTTAAAGTCCAATTGGCCGTTGACTTTGAGGCTAGACAGGTTCAGCCTGATTGTATTTCCATTGGCTGTGTTTGGCCCAAGAGAGGGGGGAGGGGAGGGGGGGGGGGGGGGGGGGGGTATATCTGGGGGAGATAAAATATGGAGGCGGGACTCACAACTTTGCGAAGTCGGGGTCCTCCAATGCGAGGCTTCGGAAATCGACATCTTGTCGATAGATGTTTCTGGGTGAGTCCATGTTGCTATAATACTATGCTATGTCTCAACTCCCAAAGAAGCCTTAGCGAGATGAGGAGGAAGATGGCTGAAAGGTGATGCGGTTATGGGGGCGATGTATCTAAGTATCAAGTCAGCTGGTCGGGGATTTCGCTCTTTTAACTAAATATTCTTGTTTGTATGCTTTGGCATGTATTTTATCTCACCAAATACCTCGCACAGCTCTGAACCGCAATTCTCAAAAGCCAAATGGCATAGTACAAGTTCATCAGTGCGAATATCCATCAAGAGAGAAAACAGCCGTACATGGATGTGAGAAGTCAATTTGAACCTTTAAACCCGGGCGGAGATTTTTAAGCCATACAACTCGCGAGTTCACCGCAAATGCACTCCAACACTCTTGAGACAGGAACGAGCTAGCTCTCAGAGATCGACGTACGTTGCAACGGAAGCCATGATTTCAAGGGTTCCTCGCCTTGACATTACGGATCTTCGGTACAATATGTATTGCGTGAATCCCGTACGTTATCCCTTTGGGTAGAGAAGCTTGCCCACAAATCTCGGGCAAGATTTGAGCTATTATTTAACTCTCCCATAATTAACTATGGGTTTAGGGAAACTCTGGCAGGGCTTGCAACAAATCAAGGCTACAAATGCATCAAACGTCAATGATGCTAGTCCCGCAAACTATTTGACAGGAATTTCAAATGTATAACGGTCCGCTAGACAACATCTCAACGTCTCTTAGCCTATCGAACTTTCTCCCAAAAGCCCCATCGTATGGAGTCCGAGAGGCAATATTTATGGCATGGATTCGGGTGCAGCCAAAGCCATAGAGTACTAGTGTGCAGGCGCTTTTACAGGATAAAGTTCACCTCTTGCAAAAGTGGGATTCGTACCTGAAAGGTGTGCCAGCTATGTGAAAGCGCCATGTTTGCAAATGACCATTTTTGGCTCATGTAAACTGCACATCTCCCTCATCTGTCATGCTAGGCAGTTGTGCCAGCATCCTTGCTGTAATTCCCAGTCCATTTCAATATGCTTTTTGCACGGTTCAGACGGGATGCAGAAGGAATATGCCGTTCTGCTTACTTCCTGTTAACCAGTTGAGAACCATCAGACGACTGTTTTGAGCGTTGATCGACTATCGTAACAATACCTTAGTTAACTTGATCCGTACTCCGTACTCAGTAGTAATTTCAGGACTAAGAACGAATTTACAGGAGAGAAAGAGGGACGAAATAACAACCACGTCCAAGGCAATGCGGATTAGTTAGAAGTTAACTAGTGGTTGCTTCGAGGACAGCCACATACGTATGACTCTATCAGTCTTTAATTTCTTTATAATCACTCCTAAACTAACTAGTTAGTCAACTGGCCCGGATTAAGCTTTGTCAAGAAATGCGTTGGAACTCGGGGGCCTTTCGCGGTATGATGTACTCCGTATGCGTACAGGGAAGTAATCTCGTACGGTAAACACATCCGCGAGAAGCGGCTTCAGCAGAGCCAACGCGTCCGAAATTATAAATGCATTGTATACCTATTCGACACAATCTAACTACTCACATGTTGTTCTAAGACATAGCACGCAAGTCACCGCCGAAAAACCATACCATACGTCCCTAAACAAAGTACCTCCCCGGGCCTGACGAAGCTCCCAATCCTAACACACAAGGCGAAATGCAAAAAGCAATGGAACAAACCGCCCAAGTGTACGTCAAGTAGGACTCCGCCAACCTAAAGGGAACAAAAAAAGAAAAGAAATTAGAAGTAATCAAGGAAACTTAGCAGGAGGCCTGAGCAAGACTGCAATCTATAAGTGAACATGCAAAACGCCGAAACGGGGAATAAGAAATGCTACATGAAAGGTATCAATCATTCCAACCAGACAAGTCAGAAATGGAGAGGGGGTGAACTTGTCGTTTTCGAGAACAGATCCAGGGGGGAAAAGAAAAGAAAACTAGGTCCCGAAACGACACACACAAAACACGGCAAGTATGAGACCAAGAAGTGAATCACAGGCAGCGGGATAAAATATGGGAATGAGAAATATAATGAAACAACCCTCGAGACTCCGTCCTCGAGCCGCCAATTTTGGCTATCCGCAGGTCCCGAATATCTGGGCTTGATCGAGGGTCATTTGTGGTGCTGGTTTTACAGGGATGTTGCAGTAGCACCGGCACATGGAGATCAAGGGATTGGCTGGGTGTCGCGCGCTCCACTTCCCTTCAGACGCTTGAGAGAAGTTAGTATATACATAGGAAGCGAGTCTCCACAGACAAGGGAACCTTTTGGGAAGGGCTTGCTTGCGAAGTTGAGGGACTTACCTAAGGGTTTTTTATCTTCCCTGCTGCCACTTCTGGTAGCATGGGTTGCATCTCGTGAATCCGCAGATCTTACAGCGCCAGATGGCCTGGTGTAGGCCATCAGTGCACTGCATGCATCTCCATGTTATCATGCCATTTCGGTCTTGAGCAACTTCCCATTGATGAGAGCACTGGGGGTTGGCCATTTTGTATGTCTGAACCGGTTGGGTTTTCTTTTTCTTTGCTTATCCGGGATCACGGTTCGAGGCAGAAGGCGGGCCTGTTTCGTGGTTTTTGAGCCACTTGGTTGGTGCACGAGACTAACGCTAAGACTTCCGAAGGGTCAGGGCGGCTGGAATCAGTTCCAGCAAACTGGTCGAAGCCCAAAAAAAAAAAAAAAAACAAAAAAGATGTCAAAATGGCGTCGGGAGAGGCTAGATGCGCTTTCTGGAAGCAAAATGACTTGTGGAAATGCTTTGCTGATGTTTCATGGAAATGGGTATGGCAAGAGTGTACCCCGTAGATCGAGGAAATTTGTGTGCCTCGATTAAGATATTTCTAAGGCCCGAGTTGCCCCTGTCAAATAAACGAACAGGGTGACTGGCAAAAGGCTGGGTGTGCGAGAGAAGCAAAGAGTGCGTGAAGATTTCAGGAAAGATGGCGAAGAATTCCACTCAGTGGGCTGCGAAGCAGAGAGTAGATAATCCACAAGTGGCCGCTGGAAACAAGACGAGAAGTGCACGCAGGCCTCCCCGGGAAGTCGATGGTGTCGTATTATGTACGAGTATACTGACTGTGCCAATGTCTCAAAACCATTAACAGAATGACAATCAAACAATCCAAACAATGATAAAGGTTATGGAAAGACAAAACACATGTAAGAATAGAAGAGCGAGCCCCCGTTGGAGGGGAAAGGAGCTGAATTTAAAGGTTCTGAAATTCTGCTTCGCGACATCCTTCAAGTTGGTTACGGGAAAGGATAACCCTCAGCCTCCGGTATCTGACAAAGGGATGGTCGAAGCATAGAGCCTCCATCCATAGTCCAAAAGTAAAAATCTGATGAGCAGTCCAGAATTCTACGCGACGCTGTCCGAGGCGAAAATGAGCGGGCGAACCGGCCAGCCTATTGGCCTGTGCTTTATTTTGGCTCTTTGGGGTGGATGGTTAGGATCCTGTATCAGGGGACAACATACGCATGCCTACAGGTACCGGTGATTGGGACGGACGGAGTACCTAAGGAGATATATCAGTTATAGTTTGAACTAAAAAGAGTGGCAGTTTAAGAAAAAATAAGAACCCAAGAACCGGGAAATTGGGGAGGCGGCCGCGCACAATCCCTGCTGGTAAACAACGTTTACATTACAGAACGGTAAATCGAGTATGATTGTAAATTATTCAACCCGAAGACAGATCTGCATTGACCGACAATCTTTTGTCTGCTGTGCTCCGTGGGAGGCGATTTGTTGGCGGGAGTTTTACCATCAGGTACTCCGTACTTACTCCTATTTACGAATGAGTTACTCCGTCCGTGCGTCGAGAATAGCGGTCACGATGACACCCCAAATGCTGTCCAGCAGAGCATTGGTGTTCACAAAGGTATCCAGGCTGGACCCTCCATACATACATAGGTACTCCGTATACTCTGTACACACATACACGATACAGAGAACGTGGATGGGTGTCCTGTACATACCCTGTTATGCACAGCACAATCCGTAATATGGTACTTTGAATGACATCATTTCGGCGGGCGATGAAGTTGAGGCAGACGTTGCGCAATGTATCCCCGCAATCCTGCTTCGTCCTCCGTACACGGTGTAAATGTATGGATTGAGGTGAGGTTACATTACGCAAGTATCGTCGGAAGCAGTTTGCCCAACCTCTGCTCGAGATATCCATGCACGTTGATTGCCGGTTGCTTGCATTTCCGATAGGATTCTTATTCTGAATTTGGTTTGTCCGGGAAGAAAATGTCATTTGTTGCACAGTACTCAGTAGGGAGTACCCGGTATCGTAAATATCCGGATGTGTATCGACTTGGTATGGACCCTTGTACTCCGTACTGTGCTCGTCTGTCCTTGTATCCTTCAAGTTATCGTAAACTCATGCCATGTGGATGTGACAGCTCTGCACCAGGTTTCCTCACTTCGCGGTTTCTTTGGTGATTCTCCAAGCCAAACCGGACATGCCTCACCGTCCTGCTGCCCAGTGACGTCTGGAAAGCCGATGAGGATCGTTTGATGCAGTGATTTTCATTGTTCGTTTCTCAATTCCCTGAACAACCAACCGTGCATCGATCAAAGCGATGGGCTGGCCTGAAGTCGACATAATTAATACGTGGCATTGCTCCTTCGTTTCTCTCCTGCCGGTCTTTGAATGAGAAAGCCCTTGAATGCTGTAATAGTGGTTCTTGATGCTTGTGCTACTGCAACTTGCTCACAAAAAAGAAATTGCACTGCTGGGACTCCCATCTTCAGTCGTCCGGATCTAATCTCCGCAGAGGTGTTACCGATATTCTACAAAATCCTGCAGACAATGCGTACCAGGCTTTCCCGTGCATGTATCAATCGAGAGATTGAATCTGCAAGGTCAACATCAAGCACATATTTCCCAATTTCTTACCATCGGATTTCTTTGAATCGGCGAACCAGTCGCTAGACTGTTACACCCCGGCCACCCCAATCTAAGGGATTCGATCGCCAATCTTGCCTAGTCA